TCATAATCTTTGACAAGTTGTGCAACAATTGAACCATAAGTTAAAGTAAATAATTCTGCATTCTATTAATTAAATTAAAAGACAATTAAATTAAATTTTTTAAAAATTAATTATTGAAAAAATAAAGAAACAAAGAAAATTACAATTTTTTCAACACGATTTTTCCATACTTCTTCACCTAACGTTTTATATTGTTTAAGAGACATGATTAATTATGATATAAAAGTAATAAACTTTTATTTTATTTATTTATACGTCACACCAAATGAAAATATGCATGAGATTGTGCTCTCGATAAGTCAGCACCATGCACAGCCACCAAAATAATTGTTAATTCTTCACCCCCAAAAAGATAGCTTTTATTTTTAATCCCAGTCTTACTGATGACGATCATATTAATAAAGAAGAAATTCTACTTTTAAAATAAGAACCAATAATATAGTGATCAAAGAAAATTTCCCTGACTAATCTTTAATCAAAGTGAAAAAATATTCTTGCCAATAAAAAAATTTTTTTGACAAGACGGTACACATATTATTATAAATAAATATATACCTTTTATATAATTTATTTTAAAAAGTTCAGATTTATTTTGATAATGCATACACAAGTACGAATTAAACTTGTTGTGTATATATGAATGAATGATTGAAATGATTAAATAATTAATATAGATGGATAGTTATGTACATGTTTAAATATTTTAACAAATCAATCCATCCAATTTTGAGTGAGGACTCCAAGTTTCCTTTCTGCATGATTAACAGTGAATTAAAAACCTTCCAGAATCTCAAGGTATTATTATCATTGCCACCTGCCCCTGTCACAATATCTTCTCCATTTGGTGAGTGACTCATGTATAGAACTCAGTAAGTATGACTTTTTAAAGTTCCATTTTTTTCATCAATAGGTACTTCCCAATATAGATATCATTTTTCCACTAGCCATGTGTAGAAACTATTTCATTCATAATCAACAACCAATGTAAATCGCAAACCTACAAATATAGAACATGAAAAATAAAATGGTATTTTAAATAATGATGATTCATATAATAATAATAGTTACTAATTATTAATTAATTTGCCATGCTGAGATTTTGAATCACATCTCCCTAAGCATTTTCCATTTAAAGTATTCCAAATACAAATTTTTTTATCAAAGTGACCACCACCACTAACCAATAAATCACTTTCATGTGGCTCCATGATAAAGCTTGAATTGCAGCAGTGTGATCATGAAGACTGTAAATTGAGTTATGTTTTCTATTCTCCCAAATAAAGAGTTCATTAAGATTACTACTGCTTGCTAATTGGTTTCCTTCAATATTCCATTCTAATCCACAAATCTATTAAAATCAATGTAATAAAAATTAAAATTAAAATAATGGGCAATATTAATAATAAATACCTCAGAAGCATGACAAAAACTTTTATTTCTTTAATAAAAGGTTCAGCAACAAAAATAATATTTATCGCCATCAATAAAAAGATAACAAGCAACAACACAAATTTCTTGGCAGATATATTACATGATCAATAATTGGGGTGCTTCAGCTTAATTCTCTTTTTTTTACAAGAAAAGAGGCTTCATTGAGATTGTTTATGACATCAAGTTGCTACTTTTAGTAAAATTTGATTTTTTTATTTGTATGTAAAATTTTAAACAAATAAAATGTCACAACAAGTCTATGTTGTTAAACCTAAAAAAAATAAAAAATAAAAAAAATAGCAACTCATTAGTTCAAAACTTGTTAACTTAGTATTATTTTAATAAACACTTGTTTTTTGATGTAAATTGCGGTTATAATAAAATGATAATGAGATAATATACATTTAAAAGAAAAAAATATATTTGAAAATCAAATTTATTAGTCTTGCTAGCTAGTTAATTAATTAAACCATTTGCACAACATAAATCAAATTCAAATATTCACAATAACTATTTAAAATTAAGCAATTAAAATAATTTTTTTGTTTTATTAGTAATAATATTAAAATGCTTTAATATTGACAGTGATGAAATTGATTTGAATTTAATCCAAGTAATAGAACATCAAATTCGCCTCATAAAAAAAATCCAAACATCTGCTAACAATACTTTAATGCAGTTGAAGATTGAATAAAAGCATTATAAAGAAATATTTATATATCCCCCATATTAATAATGACAATGTGCTGGGCACATATTTGTACACTCCCACCTATATATGAAAGGTAATACTTTATCTTAAAGTATAATTATATTTTACACACATACCTCATCATCATTAAATAGTGGCAGTGATGGTGGCAATGTTGGTGATGACAATGATGATGATGACAATGATGTCTGTAAGTATAAGTAAAAAAATTAAACAAAATGTTATGTATATTATTAACATTTTGGTTATTCTTACATTTTAGTAATGGTGGCATTTTTTGTGTAAGGTGCCAACATTATAATTAGCTCATTTTCAGCCCAAAGGTTGTAATGCTTCTGTAAGATTTTTAAAAAAAATGAATGTATAAGTTGACAAAAATAAAGGTAAATTAATACATTAATATATTAATAAACAGAAAAGTTTGTTAAAACCTTTCCTCCTTTGAATCTCTAATATTATTGTTAACATTAGCACTATCTTTATTTCTACATCAATCAATTCTTCATGCATCAATTGATCATTGCCATTATTCATATTGGGTTCTGTATTTTTTTCTGGTTCCAATTAGAGTTTGTATTTACAGATACCATGAATACCGTTAAGGGGTTACATGCTAGATTTTAATGGTGTGTGACCCTATGTGACCTCCTTACAGTATCTGTGAATACAAACCCTAGTTCTGATTCATTTTGATCATCATCATGGTTTATTGTAAGATCATCCCTGCTTACTGTCAATATATCATCTGTTTCAAGAGCTGGATTTTCATTATATAATTCTGATTCATTAATAATGTCATTGTTTATGTCAAGATTATTGTTGTCAGATATTGGTGTGATAGATGATTCAGGAAATGATGACACAAAATCTTTATATATAATCAATAAACCATTTCTATTCCTGTAAATATATTTCATTAATTTTCTTATTAAGTCATCAATATTACCAAATATATTTTTTTAATAATTCATCCAGGTTGTTTATGACATGTGAAGGAACTAGAATACCATAATCAATACCATGAAATTCAAATAAAAACCATGCAATTATATCATCTCGAAAATCAGCAAATTTTTGCTAGAAATTGAAATTAATATTACAGTATTAGCATTAAATTGAAATGTGTAGCTTACACACTAATCAAATACAAAAAGAATTTAGTATCAAGCTAGAGTGACAATGAGTGGTGATAGCCACCACCATCATTATGATAAACACTTATCCAGGCCTTGTTGCTTCCACAACATTTCTTTCTGCTCTTCTTTTACTGTATCCTGAAAACATTTTTTTTAAAAAAATAAAAGGTAATTATTGATTTGATCAACAAACATGTCATTAATTATTTATTATTGGCACTTGGTGTTGCACAGAGATTGTTTTTTGTTGACACAATTGATTTTTTTTTTCTTGGAAAAACAATTTATTTTTTGACAGAATCCAAAGATGACAAAACGTGAGTCTCCTAAAGAAGATGTGTTAATGACAGAGGTACTATTTTTTATTTATATATTTAGTTTATAAATAATTTAATTGGAATCAAAACATGGAACAGATCTTGCTGGGTAATTATAAGATCCTTATCAACAACAAACAATTGGCATTTTGCTTAATTAAGGGAATCCTTTCTAAGCCTGAACAAGACATATTTTTAATGGCTCAACTTAAAGCAATGGATGGTGGGTCAATAAGCACTAGTAGACGTTTTAAGAAGAAAACTAGATCTAATAAATGAACTTTCTATCACTGGGATCACAATACACCCTTTGTCAAGAAACTTATCTCAATATGTTGGGAATTGGGCAGAACTTATTTTGAAAATATTAGAAATCATCTAATAAACAATGGCCTTCTGCCAAGAACTCATGGTAATATTAAAAGGTACTTCAATGGAAAACTAAATGGTGATTGATAAAGATATTGCCATGGACATTTTGGGCTCAATCATAACTATAATGAGCAGTAGCATCAATGCTGCAATATTGTGATTTACCTTGAAAATAATTTTGGTCAACTAGTTTTCTTAGTTCTTCTGCTAATTTTGTGTTTTTATTATAATAATTTCTTTCTAATTTGGCCTTAGATAGATGTTCTTTAAATCTTTTGAGTAATTCTTTAGCTTCTCCTCCTTGGCGAGCATTATAATGTAAACCATCTCTAAAATGCTGACAAGTATCACACAAATCAGTCCTGGGACTCATAATTTGAATTTCTGGTGTCAATTGATGTCATAATTTTCTGAAAGCATCATATTTTAATGATTTCAACTTGCTATCTTTTTCTAGACCAGCTAAAAAATCTCTGTGCACTGATTTATAACTCATTTCAGTTGGTAAGAATACAATTGATTGAGTTATTCTGTTGATACTTCTTCCTGGACTTGGTAATCCATGGACTTCTGCATAATTTTCCAGAAAATTCTTTACAACTGTGGCAATATCTTTGTCAATTACCATCTTAGTTTTCCATTGAGGCATTCTTTTAATATTACCATGAATTCTTGGTAAAAGACCATTATTTACCAGATGACTTCTGATATTTTCAAAATAAGTCCTACTGATTCCTAACATATTGAGGTAAGTTTCTTGACAAAGAGGTGTATTGTGATCTCAGTGATAGAAAGTTCTTTTATTAGATCTGGTTTTCTTTTTAAGGCATCTACTAGTGCTTATTGATCCACCACCCATTGCTTTAAGTTGAGCCATCAAAAATATGTCTTGTTCTGGTTTAGATAAAGCTTGAAAGGATTCTCTTAATTCTGCAAATTCTTCTTTGGGACTATTGAAGAACAACCACATTTACAACCTTTTTCTAAAAAGTCAATTGCCTTTTGATATTCATTAGAACCATTATACTTATTAAAGTACTTGTTCAGGAAAGTACTTGATATTTATAATTTGATTCTTGTTGAAAAGTAATTCTTACAATTATGAACCAATATCTATTTGTCATTTCCTATGAAATAATAAATGGATGAATATTATATTTCATTATATTTTTTTTAAAAAAGAATAATAATAATAAATAATAGAAGCACAATTCTGACACATAAAAACTTGTGCTAATATTCCTGTTGTTAGAACAAAATCAATTAATTTATTTATTTTTGGATTCTTACATAAATCTTGAAAGCCTTAATATCAAATAAAAAAAATCAGTTTTTGTGTTTAGTTGTGCGAAGCATAGTGGAAGTTCGTTGTTACACTAAATGTTGTACAGAACTCATTGCTTCTGAAACTTCGCCAGTGTATAGTTGTTACCTCTCTAAATTGGAAATCAAGTTCGGATCAAATTCAAATCCAGTTTATCACTTACTTTTATTGCCAGAATGTTTGCCGTGTATTGTTTGCACAATATAAAAAATTAGTGTAACATTTCAAATTTCCACTATGCTTCGTGCGACCAATCCATTTATAGCAGATGACAATCTGTTTTTATCAACAAAAAAAAAAAAAAAAGAAATACCGAGGCTATGATGGTAAGTGAGAAATCAGCTTATGATCCAGATATTTCTTTCAGCTTCTAATAAATTCTCTCAGCACTAGTTTCCTACTTAAAACAACAAAAGGACTGTTCAAAAGATTGTTCATATCACGAATTTTTAAATACTCATCATGGCATAATAGTTACTTCATCTTCATTTTCTGATGATTGGCAAGGCCTTGACAGAATATGGTATAAACAATTTTTGAAAGAATTAAAGAACTTTATAAAGATAACTTTTCAACTATAAAGGAAAAGGTGGTAATGTTTTTATTTTATTTCTCTGAAATTCTCTATTTAACCAAAGAGCACTTCTGATCAGGTCTTGCCCTGGATTCAGAAGTATCAGGTCCTGCCCTGGATTCATAAGTATCAGGTCTTGCCCCGGATTCCGCCATTGTGATCAGATTTTCTTGTTTTGTACTTAAATTTTATTAGCTTCATTAAAATTTGGACTTTCCTTGCAGTACAATGATGAATGAAAAGAGTTTGATTTTCAATGTTATTGGGAAGAAATACCGGAAGAAAAAAAAAAGTAAGAAATCACAAAATTCTTGTTCAACTAACTAGTTCATAGTCAAACTAAGCAAATTTGTTATAAATTATAGAATGCCTTAAAAAGAAAAGTAAAAAATAGAACAATAGATATCTATGATGCAACAAGTGAAAATGTAGGAGATGAAATTTTTAATGAATAGGGCAATTAAAAAGAATCAGGACTGAAGTATGCTAAATATTGTTAATTCAAGGACTTTGAAAAAAAGAATCTTTAAATAATTTAACAAGTAATTGCATGTTTTCTGCATCTAGTCTAGATATACATCCTTCCAAATGGAAAAATCATTGAGAAGCCAAATATTTTAGAGTTTTTTCCATCATCAGATGAAAAAAGTGAGGATGGAGAAAAAGCTGAAGATATTTTAGAGTCAAATGTTTTTTTAAATATTAGCAGCAGTTCAGAAAAATGGCATCTCCCTTCAGACCAAACTGTAGATGAAATTTTTTCAACAAATGTCTCTAGTCACATAGAAGTGACAAAAAATAAAAAGAAATTAACACCTGTGGATAAAGCTATATTAAGATATGGTGCTTCCAAGTTGATAGATCTCTTATCTAAAATGAATGGTTGGTTTACATTAGATCAAATGAATTTCATGATAAATGATCACAAAAAATCAATAATTCTTCTGGATTTACCTGAAGAAATTAAAATATTTATATGTAATATTGAAAAGGTGGATATATTTTTAAAAGATTTCTTTCATGCTGTTATTATTAACCTTTATTGATATATTTTTTTGTTGAAATAAAGGTGGTGAGGAAAGGTGAAACTAGTGATGTTAGCCATTTAAAAATCCTTAGCCGGCTAAGCTGTTTACTACCTAAATTGGTAATTTTATTTCCATAACAAGAAGGTAACATGGAAATCTATTACCAAATTTAGAAATTAAGTATGCAGATTATTAGCCGGCTAACATCACTAGGTGAAACAGCTGAGACTTATAAATATTGTATTGAAGAACATTCAAACTCTGAATTAGGCAGTGATTTATATTTAGTAAGCAAAGTTTATTTGGACTTGTAAGTGAATGTGTTTTTAATATAACATAGCTAGTTTGGTAAATTTTGACTTACTTTATTATATGCAGTTTGTATGAAACATTAGATGGTTCAGATATGCTTGGGAGAGATTACACAGAATGTGATATAATCATAAAATTGGTTGGTTATATAATAAAGAGATTAAATAAAAAGTTTGGAATTTCTCAAAAATGGTAAGTTAAATGTAATGTAATCTTTCTGATTTTTGTGGTTTTAATGCTTCTTAAATTGTTATATTTTACCTGCACAAGGGGTGAATCTTTTTGTTCATTAAGCAAGTCAACAAATCACACTAGAGCATCAGGAAATTTTTTCTGACGCAAATTTATGTAATATTATGGGGCCCGCCATAAACTTACATAAATAGTGTAATATTATGCAAAAATTGCACAAAAATTACGCAATTATTACATTCAGTGTAAATATTACATCCTTTTTATGCGAAATATTATGACATTTCATATTAAAACTTACGGATGTAATATTACAGCAGGAAAAGTTTCCTGATGAGGGCGAAGATGTGATGTTAGATTTTTGTCTTCATCTGGTATAGATCTGGGGGAATGGGAGTTTGCTGTGAAAACCACTCCTGATAAGTTATTAAAAGTCATTGTTATTCATCAAGAATAAATCAATCAATTATGAATGGATTGCTTCATCTTAATTTAGCAAATGAGCAAGTAAATCAAATAAAAGTTCCTTTTATACAAGTTGCTGGAACCAATGGTCAGATGCTATTAGAAGTGTTACTTCATGGATTTCATCTAGTGATTTCCAGTCCAAAATTTCAGATTCCAACTAAAATAGATCTAAGAGTCATTCATGGATACTGTAAGGAGGTCACACAGGGTTACATGCTATTAAAATCAAGTGTTTTTAAGGTATTTTTTGCTGGTTTATTAGTGTGTAACCCCCTTAACGGTATTCATGGTATCTGTGAATACAAACTCTAGTCATTCAACATGTTATGGTAAGAACCATTATTTTTTTATTATCTTTTTTTTTGTTATCAGGAATATTTATGTCTGATTCAACTATTTCTATTTGCATAGAATATGTATGGCAGTGTTGTGCAATTGGAACATTGTAACGCTGTTGGAATGTTCCAATGTAGATCTTCAATTGATATCAACCAATAAAATTCATGTGTATGACACTGTAATTGAATTTCATTGGTTAACTTCATTGGAATCACATTTGGAATGTTCCAATTCCAATTGAAATTTATTAGAATGCTCCAATGAAATTTTATTGGAACCATAAATGGCACAACACTGATGTATGGTGAAACAAATGAATTAGTAAATAGTTTAGAAGTTGGATATCATGAATTTGATGATGTTTTCAATAATCCTGTTACATATATACATTCCAAGTCACATTACATTAGTAAACCATGGTGGTCCTAATACAATGGAGAATAGTCACATATCAAATTTTTAAAATATTTTATATATTTTTTCATATATTAGTTATGTTTATTGCTCATTTTTAAGATTGTTAATTGAAGTAAATAATTCAACACTGATGATAATGAAATATTGAAAATAAAAAATAAAAAAATAAATCAAGATTATTTTTCTTCCAAAGGTTTCTGTCTTTTGTTGGGTAATAATATACTTTCATTCTGCTTTCTTTTCTTAAAGTTTATTATTTTTCTTCATGGTAAATTTCATAGGTAATCCTTTCTTTTTTAGATAAGATTCCAGTGTCTGAGTATCAGCTTGATAGTTTGATTGAGACGGTGGTGTAGTCTTGCAATTTTTTTATTGTATATTTTAAATATAATTAATCATGTCTTTAACAAAACAAACATGACTTAGCTATTTAATCATTTCCTTGTATGCGATTATTATTCAATACATTTGATATCATCATTGACATAACAAACAATTTCATCGCCCAAGTAGTAATAATACCAAGCCCATGCGAAAATGAAACTTTTAATAATGCGTGTCTACCCAACGTACAGCACGCAGTATTTACGTTTGCATACGGCACAACATATGGCACATGGCATAACGTGCTGCACACGGCGGTTATGTTTGCATACGGCACAAAATACGGCATACGGCCATTCGGCATTTAGCTGCAAGTGTTACAACCTTTTCACGTCATATAGTGTCGTAACAGTATGTTACAACTCGGCAATATGTTTGCACCCTTAGTTAGTGTAATGATTACACTAACCATACTACTACAGATCATTAGAAAAGCGGACAATATATTTGAACATCTGAAATTTTCAGAGGTGGTTTTGGCTGCAAAACGTCTCATTCGCTTCTAGTGAAAAATATCATGATGAAAAAGTAGAAAACTATGTTTTTCTATTTTACAAATTTTATTTGAATATAATGTAAAATCTATATATTCTAATAAGTAATATCTAGATTAGTCAACAATATCTATGATGCAGTTAAAATTGACTGAATAAACTTGAATGTTAATATTATTATTATTATTATTATTATTATTATTATTATTATTATTATTATTATTATTAATTATTAAAAATTATTAAAAATTATTCTAAAAAAATATAATGTAATATAAATATTATGTATTAAATGTACGAGAAACTATAAATATTAAGATTTTAGGTTAAATATCTCTTTCAGCCTTTAACTTTCAAGCAAAACCATTCAAAAGAAGCAATAATTATAAAACCAGCAATTATTTCTTAAAGACATTCATTATAATATGATAGATTCTTTTCTCTTGTTATGGATTAAATTGTCCATTTTCATTTGATGCTTGTATTGTAAATGAAATATTTCAATGATCAATGTCTAGGAGGTAAAATCATTGATGTTGACTTATATCCAGTGATTGTGTTGTAAAAGACCAAGTCATCGTACAACTCTACTGGAAGGATCTTCTTGTAAGGATATAATACATTACTGAAAAGTTGATCTTTAGAAATTTGGAAAAACCGAACCAGTGGAAAAATATCTTTTAAGCTTGCAGACAATTCTTTAGCTTCTTTAGTAGTCCAATTTTTAGGATTTGTATTTATCAAAGGTTGTTTGGACAAACTCCATTTGATAACTTTATTCCAAATCTCAAGTTCATCCATTTTAAGTTTTTCGGATTGAAGAAGTTCCATCAAAGCTAGCTTATCAAGCTTGTCAAAATTATTAGATGAAAACATTTCCAAATTCTTTTCAATGATATCATCGGTGCAATATTTATTTAGAATTTCTAAAACTTTATATTCTTTACATGCATCACAAATCGATTTAAGGTTTTTACGTAACCATCCACGGTGATACTTTGTGAGTTGTAATTGTAAGTAATCAATGACTTCGTCAAGGTCAAGTTTTATGGCTGCGAGCAAAAGATTAAATACCTCTGCGGAAGATTCATAATCCAAAGAATCACAACCATCATAAATATATCTATAATAATATAAAAGATAAATCAAATGGTGAGTTAAATAATTAGACAAAATACTAAATTCAAAGAAATATATTATATACTCACTTGAGCAAAACTTCAAAATCCTTTGCTGTAATGTCAGGAATCACTACCACGTGTTTATCAATATCTATTCCATTGCTTGATAATTCTTTATAAAAATAAGATGAACATGCACAAAGGACAAGAGAGTGCGCTTTAAATATTTTATACTTTGGTCCAACCTTGATGGTTACATCACGAAATCTTTTGTCATCAATAAAGCTCGCAATATCTTGAATATACCGATTTGAACCCGCTTTCCTAAGAATTTGCAATGGAAATGTTAGGCGGTTATAGCTATAAAAACACTTGTTAGCCAACTTAAAAGTAATTTTTTTCGATCACTTGACATACTTATCATTTAACTTTTTGTTTTGTCCGTATATCAAATCGTTAAACGTGGCTATTTTTTCGTTTGACAAATTTCCTTTTTGGCCCCTAAAAAATTTGATCAATTTGTTAAGGTTTAGAACATATTGAGAAACAAAAACAATATAAAATAGAAATGATACATACTCAGACAAGAGTTCTTTGAACTTATAAATTGCAGATTTTGCAGATCTGATATCCCGGATAGTGTTTTGAGAAGCCGTTTGCGAAACAACGTTCAATTGTTCTGCCAATTGATCTGCTTCAACCAAATTTTGATAGAATATATCTTGTTCGTCGATTGCATTCTCATCCAAATTAGAAATTTCATTCATTAGACGAATAATCACACGTCGAATGTAGGTGATCGTTAATTTGGCTGCTAGTGGATCATCAACATGGACTGGTTGGGATTCTAGCTCGCATTTTTCTTGACATTTTAAATCTGGAAAGATTGTGACTTTTTTATCTTTCATGCTGGAAGCATCACGAGGGAGTACAAGTGTTGCGGTGCCGTCTTCATCAAGATCTGCTAGAAGCAATTCTTTGTCATCAAATTTGGCATAAAAAGATCTGCTTTCTAATTCTAACAATTCTGTTGTTGTTTTCATTTTACTTATAATCTCATCAGAAGATTTAACATATATAAAGTTGCCTTGTCTGCTTCCACATCCCGTCAACCATGAAAGGAGTCCTATTAGCAGAATTAATGTATTTTGATTTAATTTAATGATTAGATAGAATGATAGGAATGATGTAATTTGTACTGGAATGAATACTTGCTTGCATCATGGTTTTCTGTGAACCCTACGGAATGAATCTCGGTAGTATATGTGGTTTTTTTCAAAGCATCTGCCAATTTAGTTTTTGCGTCTTCGAGACCATCGCAATTATTTTGACCGTCGGTGAAGAAGACGATGGCTAAATCATTTTCAATTCTTTTAAGACTTTTTGTGATTGATTCAAAGACAGAGGGAAAACTTGTACCTAAAAAATTATTAATAAAGAGCCTTTAGAAATTTTTTACAATGAGAAATTGTGTTGAAGCGTCAGTTAATAGCAGTCTAAGTTACCTCCATCAGCTTGTATTTCTTCATCAAAATATTTTCTTATCTCGCCATTTGACAAGAGAAAATTTGGATTATCACGGAATCTTGTCTCCAGACACTCATCATTAAAGAAGAAACATGTAATATTTTTTTCAGTAAAAACACCTTTTTTGACCAGTCCTTCTATAATTTGTAAAATAGCCTCTTTTGCTTGATCTATTGCACCATCCATGGAGCCTATATACAACAAATCAATTAGATTAGCATAGGGAACAACAAGATATATATTCAACATTTCGGAGTCAGTTGAATCGCGCATTCAGTAGGTAACACGGAAAAGAAATAATAGAGTACATTATGTGTAAAATACCTGAAATGTCCAGACATATAAAGAGTGAACGAGCACGACGCTCTTCTCCGAACCAATTATCAACCACTTCTTTAGGAACCTTGAGAGAAAATACCGTTTTGCCTTCGGCAACCTTGTAGTATTTGGCTAACAAGAGAAATTTTTAAATCATTTCAAATCATTATTATTATTATTATTACTATTATTATTATTATTATTATTATTACCATATTGTATTTTTTATTATCTATACAATAAATAGCAATAAAATTACCTGATTTTACGTTACTCTTTTTCTTAAATGACTTTCGCATGTTGATATCAATTTAATCAAATTTTAATAAAAATATTCCAATTTTCTCGCAGTTGGCAAGAGGAACCTTTATATACATTTTACAATTAATAAAAATGATAAAATGATTATCCAAATTTATTCAGAATGAAAAAATTATTTAAGAATGTATATTTATTTATTCGAGAGTTGCTAAAAATAATATTATTCCTGTTTTCTTACTTAATAGTTGAGAAATGATATCTTGTCCTGTTATCCCAATAAGGATAATGTTTATTGATTTAAAAACCCCAAGTGTTACATTGGATGCAGTGAATGGATTAAATTTTAAACATTAGTAATTAGTAATGTGAAAATTTTAATTGTTAAATGAAACTATAATCGAGTAATCATAACATTTACCCTTAATGTTTATTTGTTTATTTTTGTTAAAGGTCACACTCACTGCATAACAATAAGAGAAAAGCCAGGCTTAAAATTTCAATATAAATAGGTAGGCAAATATCAAAAATCGCAGATAATTTAGAACTTGAATTTTTCCAATAGGCCCAAGTACTAGTACAAATCAATTTGTTCCCGATTTTACGTGATGAATTCGACATTGTCCCATAATAATAAATTTGGAATAATGGGATATATCGTTGCCTCTTGCTTCATCGAATTTTCTTTATTGTCGCCAATTAATTCTTTGTCAATATCCCTTTCCAGAAACAGTTATTTCTCAGATCCCCCCGTTAATAAAATTATCACGATGATCCATCTTATTTTTTCTATATGGTAGTTTAATATACATATATATATATCAATATATAACTTACATAAAACGTTGCAGTGAGTGAGTGGTCGAAATTAACGGATTAGAAATATAGTTTGAAAAAACAGATGGCTAATTATTGTTCTTAAAAGGAAAAAATAAACAATAAATAGATAGTATCACTTAAGCAAGCAAGGTAAAAACTTCCAGAAATTCTTTAAAAAGGAAAAGGCGTAAGTAAGTCCTATTACTATTCGCTATGCGGAAACCTGGGAAAAAAGTTCCTACAAATTGTTGAGAGGAGACTCCGGCGCAGTCGATTGTTGATATTACTTTTTGGGAAAATTTTTATTTTTATTTTTATTTTTTAATATTAAGATAATAATAATAAATATAAATGGTAAAAAGTTTATTAAATGAAAATAAAAAAAATTTACAAGTCTATTTCATAATATAAAAAAAAAACATTATTACTAAATTATAATTAACACAATTATTATTTAAATTTTGAATAAATACTATCCCTTATATTATAAAATTTAGCAGTTAAGGGTCTAGAAGTTCTCGAACAACCTCTAGGATAATGATTATAATCACTTAATGTCATTCTACTATCGTTATTATTGTTGTTATTATTAGATCCTGGTGATAAATAATTATTGTTGTTATTATTATTATTATTATTATTAGAATCATCAAATTTACTGTAATCTATTTTCAATGCGAAAGAGGATATTCTATTTAATTCAATTACAGGTGGTCTATTTGGAAGTTTGTTGACTGGTTCAATAGATTTTTCATTATAAGCAATTCCCCCACTATTGTTGTTATTATTACCATTACCAATACTTAATCGATGATGATTGTTACGTAAAGGTGATGTGATAGTTTTAGGTTGTATCGTTTCATTCATTTTTCTCAATTTCCTATAATATAAATATTTACGATATAGTAAAATACCTATTATAAGAAATACCAGCACAACTATTGAAACCATTATTATTATGGCTATTGGACTTATTTGATATATGGAATTTTTTGGAGTAGCGTTGTCACTATTATCACCTTTGTCATTACCACTACTTATAGTTGTTGATTTTGGAGTTGTTGGGGTTGTTGGAGTTTTTGGAGTTGTTGGGGTTGTTGGGGTTGTTTGAACTTGTGTTTTTCGAGGAGTTTTGGTTGGTTTAGTTGTAATTGAAGATGTGTTAATTACTTCGCTGGTAACAGCTGCATCTCTTTTTTTATTATCATTTTGTGCAAAACTTGTCATATTTTTATCATTATTCTAAGAATTATATATATTGAAATAGGTAATTATAATGACGAATAATAAATTTCTTTAATATATTTTATATTAAGAAGAGAGAAAAATGAACGTCGGTTTATTTATAATAATTAGAAAGAAAGTAAATTACTTTTCAAAAACTCCAATAATGGTAAATTTTATCTAATTTTTTGTTTATTATTATGATTTAATTTAATTTGTAACCAGTAAAAGATCCAAATTTGGTGATTAAAGGATTCATAAAGAATAAACAACAAATATATAATTAACCATATAAAAAATTTGAAATATAAATAAGTCTACTACTATTTAATTTTATTGACGATGAATAAATTTTAATATATGAAGATTTTCATCGATCATTTTTCCAGTCTAGCTAATTGGAAAGATTGAATAGAGAGAGTTATTCGGTTAAACCAGTTAATTTTAGAAATGGTTAACCGATTAAATTTATTAATTAACTGGTTAATTTAAACCACGTGAAATTTTTTAATTTTCATTCAAAATAAATATAGTAATAGCACATGCACTATCGAATTCAATTAAAAAAAATTTTAGTCGCAATGTGGTGGTTTCTATTCAAATAAGAATTACTACTTGTTCGTTATGAATTTGAGTATTCGAATATAACTAATAAAAATAAATAAATAAATAAAACAAATAATTCGAATAAATATGAAACGAATAATTCGAATAAGAAATATATTACGAATTTTTGCATAGTTAAAGAGGAAGAGCCATCGCGAATTGTTCCACGATCCTTTCTGATGTTTAGTGGTCTGGACAACTTTTAATCATTGGTTAGGAACACCTTTAATTTTACTATGTTGCTTGTGAGTGGTATATTCCTTGTATATGTTTTTTTATTTTATTTCTTTCTTCCATAGACAGGTTTTGTGCTGGGGTAGATTTATATAATTATTGGACTTTATCCTATTCTTATATATTTATTGGACACATAATGAGCTTGTAACTGGAATTCTCGCTCGCAACATCACATTGATATTACAGAACTGGAGCAAAAAATACTCGGGCTTTTTGAAAGGTTGGTTAGAGGGATCGGAGAGAAAGTAAAACCAGGGTTATCATTTGGAAAAGGCTCAATTGAATATTTCCAAGGGTAGAGGTTGCATCCAACGAATAATATTCATTGAATATTCATTCAGTTAATTGGGTATTTTATTTTTTTCATTGATATTAAAAAGTGAATATTTCAGTGAATAACTGATAATCAATATCTCATATAACTGGATTGAAATGAATTTTTCATGTTCAAATAAATTCTCATTTAATTCATCTGTTTGCTCATTTCTAATTAATTAAATTAATTATTCCACTTCCATTCCTTTAAAATGGAAGAAGAGCATTCAGTCACCATAATAGGGAAGAGTAATAATATCAGTAATGAACCTTCTGCTGCTCATATTTTGAAGAAAAGGGTGATTCTAAGAAGTCAGAAAGAAATAGATCTCCAGTTTTGTTTAAACACTTGTGTCACCAACTACAAGTGAGAGAGATTAGTAAACAAAATTTAATCCACTATGGTAGAATGTAAAATGATTAATAAATTTAAAATTTTTTGTTAACAATGAATATCTGAATATTTTAATTATTCACCAAATAATTATCTGGATATTTGATTGAATGAATATAAAATGAATGAATATTCAGCGGACACAACCTCTATACAAAAAACATTTATTTTTCTTTTCTTTCTTTAACTAAATGGTTGAAAATTTCTCATACTGGTAAAATATTAATAATCACTTTAATATGAATGTTAAGAGGCTGTTTAGAGATGCATATGTATGAAAATCAACAATTAAAAAATATTTGTAATATTTTTCATTAACTGTTGTTTTCTTTTGATCAATTGATTGTTATTTCAGTGGCAGATGAAATTTGTTACTGAATTTTTTAAAAAATTGAAATTATTGACCAGAAAATTTGCATATGTTATAAGTTTTATGCAATAATTTTTTATTCTAATAATAAATTTCCCATAAATGTTGGAATTTTTAATTATTATAATAAGCAGTTATTATCTCATCAGGAAACCTAATGTTTGATATTATACATATAGTAAGTACTTGCTTCCTTATACTGATTGAAAAATATAGTTATTTGAACCTGGTAACAAGGTTTCCCAGGAATTGTATATTAATAATAAATGTGATGATCCATGTATCATTCTTTATGTACCATTAGATGATGGATGACACATGACGTAAATCTCCACATAATTAAAAACTCTAAAGTTACCTGGCATAATGATTTCAAATTACATTGTTGTGAAAATCAATCAATCAAATTTGGGATACGAACTTCCGATTGGCCAATTTGAATTTACGCACAACAATAATAACAACATCTTCAAAGCCACTTATTCCATATTTAAAACGTTCTAGGATAATAAGGTATATATTATGTTTAACTAAACGGGTATTTTGTACAACTTTTTTTTATAACACACACCTCCAAAAAAACCGAGATAAAAATAATGCACAACATTGTAATTTTAGGAGGCTCCTCTCACCCACAATTAGCCGAACAGATTGCTTTAAGAGTTGGTGTGAATCTTGGGCATGTTAAATTATCAAAATTTTCAAACAAAGAAACAAATGTAGAAATTCGAGAAAGTGTTAGAGAGAAAGATGTTTACATTATTCAATCAGGCTGCGGACATATTAATGACAACCTTATGGAACTTTTAATTATGATATCAGCATGCAAAACTGCCTCTGCCGCTAGGGTAACCGCTGTGATTCCTTGCTTCCCATACGCAAGACAACCAGATGCTCCCTATAAAAGAAGTGGAGCTCCTTTATCACATATACAAAAAAATAACTTTACTGGTTATACGTATGACACGCCTGCTATACTTGATTCAATTTTCACAACACCGTCATCATCTGAAGCAAATGATCCTTTCAGTGCTGCTTTTAAAAAACTTAGTGAACAAAATTCGTTAACAAATGGTGACGGATCGTCAACTAGAGCAAATAATAATGACGTTAATAATAGCAATAATGGTTATAAACATTGGATTGCACGATCTGGAACCCTTGTAGCAAATCTTTTAACATGTGCAGGTTATTATTATACTGTGTGATAAAAAATGGACTAATTCGGATCTAATTGTCTATATGATAATTATTATTGTTGTTGTTTTTATATAGGAGCTGATCATATTATGACTATGGATCTCCATGATCCTCAATTTCAAGGATATTTCGATGTACCCGTTGATAATCTATACAGTCAACCATTAATGATAAAATATATAAAAGAAAATATTCCAAATTGGACCAATGCAATAATCATATCTCCAGATGCAGGCGGTGCTAAAAGGTATTAAAAAATGCAAATAATCATTTGTAAAAATATTTAAACAAAATAAATGTTTATTTACACTTCTTTTCTTCCACACCATCATCATTATTATCAGAGCTACTTCTATCGCTGATAAACTTCAGATTGATTTTGCACTTATTCATAAAGAACGACGTTCTCAACATGCACCTCACAAAAAGGATATGATGTTAATTGGAGATGTTAAGGATAAAATATGTATTCTGATTGATGATATTTCAGATACATCATACACGATTACTAAAGCTGCTCAAATACTTGTTGAAAATGGCGCAAAAAAAATTTACGCACTTATCACTCATGGAATTTTAAGTGGTGATGCTATTCAACGAATAGAGTCCAGTGTTATTTATCAGGTTATTGTCAGTAACAGTGTTCCACAGGATGAACATAAAGCACAATGTTCAAAGATTAGGGTTTTTAATGTTGCTCCTATTCTTGCTGAAGCGATCAGAAGAATACATAATGGTGAGAGTGTTAGTGCTTTATTTGATAATTGAGACGATTAAATTAGGTGAAATATTCATGTAATTTTTAAAAAAAGTGTAATAATTTTTAAATTTGTTTAAATTATTTTTTTTTAAATAAAAGCAAAGAAATACAATAATTTATAGCTTGTGATTTTACATTTAATCCCCACCTTTTTTACATGAAAAATATATACTAATACTAATACCAATAATAATAAAATTCGAGAAAGGATCAAACTAATTGAATCCAAAGAAAGAAAGAAGTAAAGTTGGTAATAACCTATAAATTTTTCTGTTTTTCTAAAATGTCTTCACAGCTTGATTTTATTCGTTCAGATTTAACCTTGCTGTATTGATTCAGTATTAATTCATCTGTTAAACAACGAATCAATTTAGTATCATACTTTGGACGATTTTTGATTGTACCTGTATGGACGAAAATTGGTTATTGGCATTGATATTTTTGACAAATTTTCATCATCTAGTTGTTGTTGTTGTTGTGATGATGATGATGATGATGATGATGATGATGATGATTTTGCAAAGACAGTTGTTAATGATGAAGAAGGTGAATCCTCCTCCGTATATAAATTATTACTACTAGCATTATCAATATGATGATTGCTACTATGATGTTTTGATAATTTTTGTAAACTATTCTCAATTAATCTTGATTGTTCTAATCGCATTTTTCTTATTCTTGTTGGATTATAATCTAATCGTTTTGGAAATGCCTTGAATTTTTAAAATAAAAATATTTTTATCATAATCGTAATAATCATGTGTAAATATATGTCTGTCTAACTATGTATATATAACAAACTGGTGTCTTCTTATATGTATGCTTGCTGGGAAAAGGTGGCATGTAAGAAGGTATGTAGCTAGGACGTGATGAAGGTTGATTTGATGACTCCAAGTCGTCGTCAAATTTTTTAACTTGTTCTTCATCATCTATCATCATCATCATCATCATCATTTCACTGGTCGAAATCATATTATTCGAGACATAGCTTATGTATCAACAGGTCACGCACTCCAAAAAAAAATTTATAATTTTTGTGTTACTTGTATTCCCGTTAATTAAGAAAACAAAACTAATAAACAAAACAAACGCATTGGTTATATAAGGCACGTGTACTTTTTGCTAGATAAGAAGCTCATGTTGTAGTGGCTGATATAATTACAATCAATCAAAGAAAAACAGCATAGTGGTGGACATTCGTTTTATCACATGTGACAAAATCGATTGTTGATCTTTTTTATGCGATTTATTGAATTTAGAATAGAATGTTTAACCTTAACCTGAGATTCATTTTCTTGGTCAAGTCACTTCAAATGGTTATATCTCAAGCTTTAATGATCAATGTAGTAAGTATTTATTGTAAGACATTCTAGGCTCAGGATCATGCATTTTTGTTTTGTAATATGTTTATTTAAAATTTTACTAATACTAAAGTATTTCTGTTATTTCACACTCGCCATTATTGTCATCTTCATCTTCTTCATCAAGTAACAAATTATCATTAATCATTAACTTTTTCTAGTATACTTATTATTATATAAGATCTTACATTCAGGACAACACCCTTTTTATAAAATTTATTGGTCTCCCTCTAGGCTGTATGAACTTCTAAATTCGTTTCAATGGCAAATTTCTTTGAAATCAATGAAGGATTTATTGAGTTCATGATTTACTTAGTTTAGTAATAAGAAGAAAGGACTAAATCTAGGCTTCAGATAATACTGCAGACTTAAACTATTTTTGAATTTCCTAAACAATTTCGGGTGAGAACATACTCTGATCTAGGAGTTTTGGAGTATTCTTTGCAGTATGGTGCCTTTACATGGTCAAGAAATAGTGAAATAACTCACATGCGAATAAATGTATATTATTTTCATTCAGATTTTCACCAAACTTTATTAATTAGTATGAGATACTGAAAATGATGTTTTATAAAGGATATATAGATATTTTTGAATTTTTATTCAGTGTTGGTATTAGTCAAAATTTAAATTTGATTGAGATCCTCACTATCGCAATTATTTTCGAAACAAAACTAATTTCGTCATTATGGGATATACATTGTTATATACATGCAATTTTATGTTATCTGATCGTTTTCCAATTATTTGAGTGGTTTTATCTATAGACTTATAACAACATCGATATTGTAGATAATAGTAGATTTGACGAATTAAAAAGTAATTGATAAAAATTGAAAAATAATATAATGGCAATAATGAACTTACAAATTTCTTGGTTTTTTTTTTCAACTCGATTATAATCTCTTGTTATTGATCTACTTTGAATCTTTACATATTCGTCTTTAGTTGCATTCAAAGCGATGCGTAATTCATTAGAGGTAACACACACCAATAACATTAATTTAGGAACAGATGAAAGAAAAATCTGATAAAGTGATAGGAGAAAAATTTCCATGACGATGAACTTTAAACTTAATTACGACGTAAATTTTAAAAATTTTGATGTGACACGAATCAAAAATATAAATATTTTTATTCAACAAATTTGTGACATACTAATTTTAATAATAATCCCAAACCAATTCTAAAATAATGTGTAGAGTTAAAGGAAGAAGCCTTGGTTTAAGAATATAGATTTATACCAGTCTATTTGATTGTTTATTTTATCAAAATGCAAAAGTGTAATACGATGTTACGAACCATTATTATTATTATTATAAAAAATGTAGGAATGCACCCCGTAGATCATTAATTAACATTCACTCGCTCATTCACTACCCTTTTTGCGCGTACTTTATATATATATATATATTGAAAAACACAATGTTGACTTTAGCAGAAACTGAGCATCAAGAAATAATTAACAAATTTGGCGGAGAATTTGAATTTCGAATCGGGACACAAATTTTAAGAATCGCAATCGACCTTTATATTATCAATTTACATGTAAATTTATTTATACTTTATATTTTATTATTTATTATAAACAAGTATTTATTATACATAATATTATTTAGTTGAAGTTGATACAGAAGATATAGATTTTACAAATGAGGCAACCATAAAATTTGCTGAGAGTAAAGAAACATTTGAAATTAATTATAATGAACAAAAAGGGGTTAGCCTCGATGCTTTATTACTGAGTTCTTTTAAACAATCAATATGTGTGTGCGTTTATTTATGTACTTGTGTTTGAATTTTAGGTAGAGGGTCCATTAAAATTAACAGGACATTTGGTTGAAGATAGTCATAATAATACTTATGATTCGGAAGCCATTAAAAAATGTTTAATGATTTTTGATGAGGAAACGAATGTAAATCTTTTTTTTTATTATTATTTTTATAAATAGAATTAATATTAATATTAACAACTGTTGATTGAAATTTATTATTTTATTTTGAACTTAGACATGGTCATTAGAAATGGTGGGATCTAGTTATCATGTTAGTAAAGGCGAGTTTGATAATTTTGAAACATCTAGTGAACTGCAAGAATTTGCTAAAGAATTTGATTTCACTATGAGACAATCATCTGAAGATGATGGAATGGTCGAAGAAGTAGAGTATAATTACAGTGCTGATGTTGATCTTAATAATGATAATGACAATGATAATGATAATGACATGGAAGTGGATGAAGATAATGACAATCCATGGATGGAAGATTATTTAGAAGTAGTAGAACCTAACACAATACAAAATATAAGACATCTACAAGAAGAAGAAGAAGAAGATGATGATGGAGATGATGATGATGGCAATGGTAGAAAACATGGTTATAATAATTCATCAGATTCAGCTTCATCTGATAATAGTAGCAGTGGTGGTAGTTCATCTGATAATGAAGAAAATGATGATGCTGATAATGGTTCGGATTCTGGGGATTCAGTATTAGATTCTGAATTTGCTGAACTTGCAACAATGATGAAAACTTCGTTGAATCAAGAAAATGGAATCAATAGTTTAAATCGTACCAAGATAAAAACAAACAATAAAGTAAATTAATAAATAATATAAATTTTATGTGTGTAGATGTAACAAATACATGTATATTAACTAATTTCTTTCTGTTAATATCAATCAATCACTTGTTTAGTTGAATGTTGCAGCAAATCATAATTCAGGTCCTGTGTCATTGGAACAATATTTGGGTGGTGGAGGTATTTATTATTCCATCTCATGTTTATGGATTATTTAATCAAATAAATAAAATTTGACACTTTATAAATAAATAATAGGCAATAATGCTCAAGAAGAAGTAGATAATGATGATGATGATGATGAAAGTGGCTCCTCATCATAAACAATCTGAGCAATCACAACTATATATCAACTTTTTTGGGGGTAAAGATAAATATTCTTCTTTTCAGAAATAATGATATAATGAAGATTGGGATAATGACAAATTAACTTTTATTCGAAAAATTTAAATATATAATAATATTAATTACCAGAAAAATATTATTATTTTATAAAAAGAACTTTTATTTAATTAAATTAACACATGCATATACACACTATTTTAAAATAATATTGTGATGATGTCAATAACAAATAAAAAGTACATAGATAAATATTATTTAATTTTGCTTAATCATTAATTTTTATTTATAATTATTCTTTGATTTTATACATTTGAAATAAGAAAATATTAAGAAATCATAAAATGCTTTTTGTTAAAAAAATATATATATATATATATATATTTACTACTGCATAGGAGACATATTCAAATATTCACTTAATGAAAATGCAGTATCTGGTGTTTTCATATCATTAATTGATCGAATTTGGTTTGGTGGTGTTCTTGGACATTCAATCAAATCCTTTGAAGAAGATGAAGATGAAGATGAAGAAGCATCATTGTTTTCCTTCCATGGACTAAAAGTTGTTTTTTGAATTTTTTGGTATTTAGTGGCAGGGTTTAATTCTTCACCCCAATCTGCTTTCCTTCTACGTGATGATGATAAAGAAGAGTTTGTTATTGTTGGTGATCCAAAGTCCATTAATGTCCATGAGTGACGATGATGATTATGATTATCATTATTATGTTGACGTTTATGTTGATAGTGACAATTATTGTTAATCATGTAATTATTAATATGTTGATTATTGTTGTTGTTATTATTAAATCTATCTGATCCATAATTTCTTCCTATTGAATTTAAATGTTCTATGGAATTAAGATTCATCCCTATTGGGAAAAATGGAGGTAAATCTTGTTCAAGAGAATATGTATCAAATGATGGTAGTGAAGCTAATTATTTAATTATTGATATGACAATGATAAAATAATAATAATAAGCCAAAAAAAAATAATATTGTTAAGATCAAATAAATAAATGAATAAAGTTAACAAATTGATTGATTGATTGATTACCTATTGAAGAAGAGATTTCATCATTATGATTTAAATGTTGTTTATTGATGTTAATATTTTTGTTATTATTATCATTCCTATTGTTGTTAATATTATTGATGTTAGATGATGATGATCCAGGTCGATTTACTAATGAATCAAGTATTTCAAAGACAGCTTTAGCTTTTTCATCTGTAAATCTATTTTTTGATGGAGGTACAGGAGAAACATTAAATGGAAGATGTGTTCTTTGCTTATTTGGATAATTTTTATAATCTTCTAATTTCTGTTTTACCATTCTTTCACACATTGATATATCACATTTTTGTAAACCCCATTTTACTTTAAAATAAGCAAATTGAAGCCCTATTCTTAATTTTTTTGCAACCTAAACATTGATATTTATGGATATGGATATATATATATATATGATTATATATTTATAAGCCATTTCAAATTCAGGTGAAAATGTTAGAATATAAAAAAGGTTTATTTTTACCTCATAAATATCTTTTACTTTTGAATGATCTATTATAGGTTTTTCTGTTAAAAGTTTAACGATTTCTTGTAATTCTTTTGCCTCATCAACATTCATTATGAACTAATTAATAAATATATTATTGATATTGTTTAATTGTCAATACATCCATGAATATTTTAATTAATTAATTACATTTATTTAATTGTAAAAAATAAATCTTACATATTTTTATTATTTTTCAATATAAAATAATTACTTGTGGATATTTTTTTTATTGGTATTAGAGGAAAAGGAAGAGAAAGAAGGATGATGTGAAAGCATGTTTTTTTTATTTATTTATATAAAAAAAATTTTTTTAGACTTTGAATTAATTGGATTAATTGGCGGAAGAAAAGGTTAGAGAATGAACATGACAAAAGCAAGAGTATATTGGTTGTTTACTAAAAGAGGAAATTAAACATCTGTAATCGATTATTTTAATAGTAGATGTTACACGAACCATGCACACGTTGTTGAATAATCAAGAAATTCCGATTAATTAAATTAAATTGTGATTTTCAAAAAAAAAGTGTAGATTTTCTTAAGTTTTACTAATAGATTTACATGTAACCTCTGATATGGTTGTCCAGGGTTGCAATCTGTATAAAATGCCAGTTGACCTCTTGATTTTTTTTTGCAATGTCAGAATTATTAAACATAGTATGCTAGTATTGATTAGATAAGCAACAAAAGGCTTACTATAAATAGCAAGTTTCAAACATATACAACATACCCATAGAACCAATAAATTCCAAACATTTATGATGATGAGCATAACCACATATTAACATTATACCTTCTTGTTGATTCTCTTTGATCACAACAATCATAGTTATTATTAGATGGTGGTTTAGAACTAACCAGCTGGTAATTTTAATCATTATTTAAATCTTTTAAATGTGAATTTTAATAATAATAATGACAACAACTACTGCAACAAAATCAGACAAAGTGACCATTTGCATTACTAAGGATTTCAGGCATTAAAATTCCAATGTAATGTGATTAACAATTTTATAATATCCTATTTGTATTTCTGGAACAGATCATTGTGATGTTCATATTCCTGTTGTTGGAGGTCATAGTGGCATGACTATTGTTCCACTATTATCTAAAATTTCATCACCTTATAATTTCACACAAGATCAAATTTCTTCACTAACAAATCATATTCAATTTGGTAAATTTTATTTTTATATTATAATAAATTATCAAGTCTTTTTTGATATAAAATTATACATGTATCTATTTATTGTAAAGGTGGTGATGAAGTTGTTAAAGCAAAAGATAATACTGGATCTGCAACTCTTCCTATGGCATACACTATTAATCTTGATGCTGATCAGAGAAGGTGGTTTCCAACTTAAAATGCAATTAATAACTTGGAATATTTTTCAACAAATATTGAATTGGATGTAAGATTCGCTTTAGCCAAACAATGTTTCGAAGATTCTTTCATTTGGTAATCTCACTGAATATGAACAATCGCTTTTTAGGGCTACAATTCCTGAACTTAAAGTGAACATTAATAAGGGTGCTTCTTTTATGATAGAAAAACCAAAATTGTAAAATTATCCATCCTCTTAATTAAAACAAACAAACAAACAATTTGATTAAGTTTTTTTTTCATAATCTTTTTATAGTGGAAACTTACTAAATTCCATGAAATGTATCCATCCATAGTTAAAGCTCCGAACGGTTCGGTTTTTCGGTTTACATTTGACCCAAAAATTTCAGACATTTTAAATTCGTTAACTACGCAAAAATATACATAACTTCAAAAAAATTATAATAATTGTAGCCTAGTTTAGCGAAGTAGAGATGCTGGAAGGATCCTGTTTCTGAATACTATAATTTTATACCATGATAACGATGGTATGGAGATCATGATTGAATTTTATACATAATGCCACGTTTAGATGCAGCTGTTCAGTTATAGGTCGGATATTTACATATTCATAGATTCACCACAAAAATTTGTAGTTTAGAGTTCCCATTCGTAATACATATTCTTATTCAAATTATTCGTTCATTCGTTTTATTCGAATTATTCGTTTATTCGTTTTATTCGAATTATTCATTTTATTCGTTTCATTCGTTTTGTTTGAATAGAAATCCTAAGGATGTTCTACTTTTTCAATTCATATATAAAATTCATTGTCTCCACAAACTTTTAAACTCTTATTGTTTCAGGTTCTAAAATACAACGTCTTTGAGTAATTAAGTCTGTGCTCAGAAAAAACTCGTTCACTGGTTGTTACTAGATTAGAAATCAATGAGTTTGGTTCTAAATAAGCAGAGCGCAAAAATTAGAATACCAGGAACTGCCAAGTGGTTTTTAGCCTAAGCTCTGAACAGTTCGGTTCAAACTGAACTGAACCGAAATTTTTCGGTTTGACTTTTTAGAATCCGAAACCGAACCGAACCGAAATTCTTCGGTTTGAACCGAACCGTTCAGAGCTTTATCCATAGTATAGTAATTGTAATTACAGTAATTATCTTCAGCTTCCCAATTATGAACACAACAACAATTTCGATATTAAAATTAACTACGGCCACTATGATTATTAGTTTTTTTTCAATGTCATCATAATGTTAATTTTTTTTTATTGGCTATAGTAAAAATACAATAACAATCAAATAAACAAATACCTCCATATCTAATCAAATTAGACCGTTTGGGCCAACATATCACCGCATTTTCTTTCCATGTGGCTGTTATAATCACACTTCAATAAGAAAATTGTAGCGAATACCCCAAATCTAATAATGTGATTTTATCATCTTTTTATATTTTTAATATTTAATTATTATATTATTATTACACAATGAATCTTGGTTTAGTGGACCCTAACTTAGCGGATACTAATTAAAAATCTCGGTTTAATGGATGAAGTAAACCCCTTCTTATTATAACGGATTTTGGAAAATTGCCCAAATTATTTGTTAAACTGAGATTCACCATATATCTCTACTACTACTATTATTATAATTATGACTATATTATTATTATTATTGTTGTTGTTGTTACTTTATTTCTTTTCATATGTTTGTTGATACCAAAACGTATTTCTATATTTACAACTTCTTGACAACGTGTTTTCCATGACATTACATGAGATTTTCTTCTTTCTATATAATATAAAACTTCATGTGATCGTAAATGACTTTTGGTATATTTTCTTTTATCAGATCAATGAACATGAATTGGTTTTTATCTTGATATATTCTCTAGTATGTTTTCCATCAAACATATTTCCAGTTACTATATGATTACTAGTACACAGTGAGTCTCGGTTTAGTGGATCTTGGTTTAGTGATTTGAGGTTTAACAGATAAAATTTCAAACCCAAATTTTTCTACAACTACAATTATTTTATCTCGCTTTAACAGATTTAACAGATTTTTTAATATGTCATTATCCTTGGCTGCGACTGTCCTTGCCTTTTTTGGCTAGCCTAATTTCATAAGATAAATTGCGTAATACAATGTATGTATTAGTATTAGTATGATATTTAATTTATACCCCGTGGTTTGATCAAGTTTCGCTTTTGCGGATCCCTTCGTTTAACAGCGGTGTTGAGTGCGGGGAATACGGGGTGCAACATCACACACCATCAAAATTTTAATTTTGTACTAGTTACATAATAAATTTTCTGGAAAAAAATACCCGTTAAACCGAGATTCATTGTTATTGTGTATCATTTAGTCGAATCATGAAATTAAAGAACAACTCTCAATACTGGCATAATTCGATAAATTCATAAAATCCACCATGCCAAACCTATGAATTTGACAAGCTTCGACTGTATGTGAATTTCAAATTCACATAGACTATACAACATTTACCGTGGGGCTAGAGTTTAATAAATTAATTGTTTTGTCACATGCAAGTCGAGAAATGATTTTTTCCTATAGAAGGATAATAATAAGATCCTTAATAAAATTTATTCGTAAAACATATAATAATAATAATAATAATATTTATACAAAGTTTACTATTATTAGTTAATTTAAGGGGTTACACGGGTATTTAAAGAACGAAGTTGGCACACAATGAAAAGTAACATAGTTTATCCGTTTCATCACATGTGACAAAATCGATCATTGATCTTTTTTATGATACATTTTTTTAACGCGTGTATTTTGCTTTCTATGTTCACAGTATGTGTGTGAAAAATGATCAAATGATCAAGTCGCTTTTGAAGGGTTACATAGGAACTATATTTCAAGCTTTAGTGATCAACGTAAGTATATTGTAAGACGTTCTAGGCTCAGAATTATCTTTTTCTAGTCTATTATTATTATATAGAATTTTACATTTGTGATGACACCCTTTTTATAAAGTTCCAAACATTTATGATAAACATGACCACGTATTAACGTTATACCTTCTTGTTCATCCTCTTTGACCACAACAATCATTATTATTGACAAGAGATGGAGAGAAAGAAAAATAGGATAAAGTTATCTGTGATGGAAGGTATAAACTCTCACTTGTAAATATTATTATTTATTTTTTTTGTATTGTGATCAAGTTTTTTGTTATATATATAAACTTGATATACTAAATTTTTGGTTATTTAAACATACATGCATATATATATGTCTATCTTTAAAGGAACAATGTACTAGCAGGAAGTTTGATAATATTCAATTATTACAACGGTCATCAATGCACATATATATAATTTAGTTTCTAAAAAAAAAATTTTTTTGAAAGTAGGACATTTTGATTAATTAGAGAACGTTATTATCATCCATCATGTTATTAATCCAATTAACTATATTAAGTAAAGAACGTATATATAAATAATAGATCGTTGTTATTAACATTTTATAACAATTGTAGATTTATTGTTGATATTAAATATATAATAGATTTCTACCACCCAAGTGTGTATACATATTCTTGCATCAACTTGAAATTCATTTGATTCCATTCAAACTAAATAAATTTATTCCGTTTTCAAAATTGCGTAACGATCTTCAAACCAAAAATTTAATTATTGCATGATATCACGAAATTTAGCCAATGAAAAGTTATGAAATTATCGAATATAATTGGTTCCTGGAAAAATTATGAATTTGACGAAATTAAAATAAAAGATATATGTGAAATTGGCCGATCAAATATGAAGTCGTACGTAGATTAACTTCAAAATTACGATTTTGTATTTATATTTCCATTTTTGGGGGAATTAAGATAATAATAAAATGATTTGGCGCTGACGGAATTTCCGGAAAGTAATGAATTGCTTATTATTATTATTATTATTATTATTATTATTATTATTATTAAAAAATAAAAATATAGCAATTCAGAATTTCGTTGTGTAATTAGTACAAATTTAGAGACTCTCCAGAAATTCAAAATTTGATTGGATAACAATGTTACACCTCGACAACCAAATTTCTTCACGCTGTTGCAATTTTGGGATGTCAAAATCATTATAGAACCATATTAATATTAATATGGACTCCAATTTTAGCCTCATAATCACGTGAAATGCAATTTACGTTTAAGGAACTTAATAGGATGTTCACTTTATTTATATGTTTGTTTATTTTTGGGAAAAAGATAAAACTCGATTTCTCTTTTTGAAAAATGTACACAGCAATAACAACAATAACAGTGCATTCAAATAATAAAAAAGTAAAAAAAAAATTTTTTTCTAAAAAAAAAAAAAAAAATAAAATAAAATAAATAGCCCACAATTTGTATAAATTTTGAAATTATTTTCTTTCATTCCTAAATTTCATATTCATATTTTCACAAATGACTTATCAACCACCACCAGTAATGTATCAAAATTTTTCACAACCACCAAACCAGTCACAATTCGGCGGTGGACCACAAACACCTCCAATGAATTACCAACAAACACCTCAAATGCAACAACCTACAGGAGCACCACCGGTAAAAGAAGTATATGATAATAATAATGGACCAAGAGAATGGAGATTTGGGTTATTTGATTGTTTTGCTGACACTAATTTATGTAAGCATATTATAAATTATTAATTCAATTAAAAAATCAAGTTTAAATTAATTTCAATTTTTATTTTTATTTTTTAGTCCTTAAGACTTTTTGTTGTCCATGCGTTACTTATGTAAGTGAATATTTCAATAAAATAGCACTGTCTAATTAGTAAAATACCTTTTATCATCATTTATTCATATATTCTCCATTATCTATTACTAGGGTGAAACAAAAGCTAGAATGCTTAATGATGAAAGTGCATGTCTCGTTAATGGATTACTTTACGCTTTTGTAGGATGCGTCGTTGGACCTTTGAATCGTAATGAAATGCGTACCCAATTAAATATTGAGGTAATTTAATCAAATTATTATTTTTATGATGAAAAAATTTATTTTGAAATTAAAATTTTATTAATTTTATTAATTTTTTAGGGATCTGGAGCTGGTGATTTGTGTACACATTATTGTTTTAGTTACTGTGCATTAATACAAGAAAATCGAGAAGCAAATGCTATGTGATGGTAATATAGGAGAGAAATATTTATAATCAATCAATTATTCTTTATTTATTGTTTTTATTTTTTATTAATTATAAATTGTATTTAATATTTAAGTGTGTTGTATTGTCATTTATTTATTTATTTTGTAAAATATAATAAAAAGATTTTGAAAATATTATTTGGCTATCGATGAATTTTTTCATTATAATAATAATAATAATAATTACAAATAATAAAAATTTACAATAAATAGAATATTATCCCTAATTTAATGACTTTCCAATAAATAAATTAAAAAAATTTGAATAATGAAGGAATGTGATATATGATAATTAGAAATAGTAAAGGAAATACAAAAAGAATATTTATAAAAAAAAAATGATGATAAATTTTTTTAAATATTAAAATATATAAAATATTATATGATAATAAAAGTCCCTAAAAAAAATTGCTTTGAGAAGGTGTAAAGATATTTTATTTTTCTAAATAAAAGAATTTTTTCTTATCAAATATTGATGATAATCAACATAATTAATTCATCATAATAAATATTTTGTATCTAAATCTTCAGCAAAATTCATCATTAATATTTTCTTATCTTGGCTTGTACTAACAATTTTGGTCCTGTTGAATTGTACATCAAACACCCAACTGGTATGACCTTCATGAAAATCCAATAGTTGTTTACCAGTTTTAAGATCCCATACTTTAACAGTTTGATCGTAACTTCCGCTGATAACCATATTCTCATCAAAATGTAAAGTTCTTACCAGATCGGTATGACCCTCAAGTGTACGTACACACTGAGCAGTTTCCACATCCCATATTTTGATGGTTTTGTCATTTGATCCTGACACCACCCATCTACCATCAAACTGTACGCATGCTAGCCCGCGTGTATGACCAACAAAATCTCTTATACATACACCGGTATTTAGATCCCATAATTTTATTAATGCATCGCCAGAAGCTGATATAATTCTATTATCTTTAAGTTGTATAGCATTCACAGGACCGAAATGACCATATAATGTTCTCTTTAATTCCCCAGTAATGACATTCCATACTTTTATTGTGCAATCTTTTGAACATGATACAATATAATTATCATCAAAACATATATCTAAAACACCCGCTGAGTGACCATTCAGCTTCATTATCTGTTTAACACTTTGATTGTTATCACTATTATTATTATTATTTATAACTTTATCAATATTACTCATATCCCAAATAATTATAGTAGAATCACTCGATCCAGTTACCATTATTTTGTCATTATATTGTAAACATAATACTGAAAGATCATGTCCATGTAATGTCTGGAAACAAATTCCCGTGTTAATGTCCCAAAATTTGATGGTTTTATCTCTTGATCCAGTGACTATTTTTTTTTCATCAAATTGAATACAATAGACACTATCTACATGACCTTTCAAATATTTTTTTTCGCATTCGCCTTTCTTCCATTTCAATGATAGCGTATATCTATTCTTGTATAGTAACTTCCAATCAATTCCGCCAGATATTAAAATTTCTTTTGGAATATTCACTTTCCATCCTTCGTTTGATAAAAATTTTCTACGCCATATTTCATTATCTCTTGATATACTATACCAGGTACGAGATACAAGTGACATTCTACATAATGTTTGTAAATCAATATATAGTAATATATATGATGCCATTTCGTAAGGGAGTCGTGTTAAGTAGTCTGAACAAAAAAATCATAAATAAATATGTTTTACATTATTTATTACATCACAAATTTTTTTTACTTAAAAATTATGTATGATGATGATCATAAAAAAATTTTTTTACCGATTTTTGGAGTCTTTTCATCTAATGTATAAAATCCTTCGTCAACATCATCCAAATTATTATCTAAAATATTGTTAACAACGTTATTATTTGTGGTGGTTGTGTTGATATTAATTTTATTAGCAATTCCTGTTAATCTTTTTGTAATAGCTGTAGTGTTGGTGATAGTTACAGCTTTTTTTGGTGATGTTTCTATAACATTATTATTGTTGTAATTACAATTGCCGTTATTATTGGTAGATGATGACGGTGATGATGATGATGACGGTGAGGAGGAGGAAGAGGAGGAAGAGGAGGAAGAGGTAACAACAGATTGTTTATTATGATTGGTATTTTTTGTAAATATTTTTAAAATTTTTTGTTTACTTCCCATAAGTGCTGATTTTGGGCCCTTCATTATTTTTTAAAATAATATTCACTAAAAATACGATGATTGTGTTTATTTATTTTTGTTTCGATAGTAATGTTTTACTATAAACAATAAATTAATCTAAAATTGATGAAATTTGTTGGTAAAAAAACATTTGTTAAATTATGGTTTTAAAAGAAAATTAAAAAAAGTCTTTTTTTAGAAAAAAAAAAAAAAAAAAAGTTTATTATCACCATTACCTTTTAAATTCAAGGGAGGGAGGGATGATATATATAATACAAAATTGGGAGAGTTTATATATTTAACAGAATTTATCTTTTAGAATTATAAAAAAAAAAAACAACTAAAGAGGGTATATAGAATTGAAAATAAAGAGGGAGGAGATAATAAAAAAAAAAGAGAGAAAGATATTTGTTTGTTATTTATTATATATATTTAATTGTTATAATTTTCACATTGTATTCAATTTTGTGGAGATGAATTTGTTAACTTGTGCAACTAATATTTTTTGATCTATAAAAAATAAATAAAATTAACATTTAGTCTATAAAAAAATGGTAAACGACGAGGAATTCTACATTCGTTACTAGTATGTATTTTTCAATTTCCATATAATTGTTTTAGTTCATTAATCGATCTAAATGTAATAAAAAATATAATTTTTGAATAAGTACTGGTCATAAAGGTAGATATGGACATGAATTTTTAGAGTTTGAGTTTTGTGCTGATGGAAGATGTCGTTATGCTAACCACTCAAATTATAGAAATGACAGTTTAATAAGAAAAGAGAGTAAGCATTAACTAGGGATTAGTGTAAAAAGTTTCTACAGATTTGATTCTCTAAAGTTATTTTGTTTTTTTTTTAAAGTGTACGTTAGTCCTTTAATGATGAAAGAATTGAAAGAAATTATCAAAGAAAGTAATATAATGAAGTAAGATTAAAAAACATTATTATATATATAGATAAACACTATATAAATTATATATATATAACTTTATAGTGAAGATGATCATCGATGGCCTAAAAAGAATGTTGTTGGTAGGCAAGAACTTGAGATCAGATTAGGAAATGAACATATTTCTTTTGAGGTTAGATATTAGATTAATAATAATCAATAATGTTGATATATTAATATTATTACTACAACAATATATGAAATTATTTAGACTGCCAAGATTGGATCACTTGTTGACGTTCAAGAAAGTGAAGATCCTGAAGGTTTAAGAAGTTTTTATTATTTAGTGCAAGATCTTAAATGTTTAGTATTTTCTTTGATCAGTTTACATTTTAAGGTAATTATATTTATATTTGTATGTTTTAATATTACGATAATAACAATAATAAATTTTATGTTTGTTTTTTTTTTATTTAAGATTAAGCCGATTTAAAAAAGTTTTTAAAAATCTCTAGTCAAATTATTGAGTAATTATTTGCAATATTAATATTATAAATTTATAGATTATATTTTTTTTTTTGCTAAAATTTTTTTTTTCAAATCATTATAAATAAATTGCAAGAGAATAGAATAAAATAAATTTCTTACAAAATAAATTTAATAAATGAAATATGCTTTGTAAAATAAAAAATTTTGTACAAAAAAAAAGGACATGTCATGATTTTTTTAGAGCATCTAAATTATTTAGATGAAAAAGTGAGAAAGAAAGGAACCTTACAAAGGAGATGTTGGTGATATAATAAATGTTTTAAAGGCGTTGTTGATTATTATTATGCTAATCAATTTAATCAATCCATCATCAAATAAATAATTTATTTTTGCAAACAGGTAGTATTAGTTGAAAATTTGATTGCCAGGCGACTTCATCGTCGTTACAATATAGAAATTTTTGTATTTGGTTTTACTACTAATGCAGCGAGCGTAGTGTACAAATAGATGGATATGGCCTTTTCCAAACGATCAAATTAGATTTTTCATTTTTATATGTATATTCAAATAAATGATATCTTTTTTTTATATATATAAAATGATTATAACAGATAAATACAACATTTAAAAAAGTCAACATAACAAATAAAGTGTAATAATAAATAATCTAAATGTTAATATTATTATGTTAAATATTTCTCCTCCCCAAAAGAAGGGCACCTTTAACTAACAATATAAAAAGAAAATTGATTAATAAATTAATTGATGATGAATGATGAATGGATTCTAATTAATATTTATTTTATTTTGAATCCTTGGTTGTTTCTTCATTTTCTTTATCTATTTCATCATCATCATCGTCGTTGTCGTCATCATCATAATCATCATCATCATTGTCATCATCGTCAACTTCCTCATTGTCAACTTCGGGACCATCATCATCATCGTCATCATCATCATCATCATAATATAAATCATTATAATCGAATGTATCATCAAATTTTAAAGCCCTGCCAGTATACCAATCAATAGCACGAGGAACAAGTTTTTCTTTTATGTCTTCACCAATTTGATAATCCATTTCTAATTGTTCATCCAATTGTTCATCTTCTTCATCTTCAGGTTCAATTGGTGGACTGAAGAAAAGAAAAAATGAATCTGTATCTACTGTCACTTTTCTTACACGAGTCTTTGTAGTACCTAGATAAGATTTAAAACATTGAATTGAATTGAATTTTAAAAAATATATATATCTTCATCGTTATTACCTTTACGTTTTTGAACCTTTTTCTTTACTGTTTTTGTAAGATTTTTGCCTTCATTCCAATCGATTTTTGTGCCCTCAGCATGATCATAAACAAAATCTCCACCATAACCAGGCTCCTCCCGATAAAAATATGTTTTTTTCAAGCTTTCATTAGTAAAAAATGGATTTTTTTCAAATTCAAACGTAAGTTCAAATCCTGGTTTTGCAAGATATGACATTTTAATATCAATCAAGTGTTTTAATGCTTCTTCATCGCGCACAGTAATAATCTCTGCAACAGAAACTAAATTTTTCATAGCTGTAAGCCAAAACCCAGGAATTCCTTTTGCAGGACCTCCACCATCTACTTCAGCTGTTTCCTTTTTTTCTATTATGGTTTCTTTTGTTGTTTCATCTTCTTCTCCTTCTGGTTTTTCACCTAATTTATTTTTTTCCTCTTCATCTATTTTGATACCTTCCTCGACAATATCTTGAGTTGGTTCGCTTTTACCTTGAACAATGTTTGCACGCATTTCATATAGTGGCATATATTCTTTTAAATATTGCTTTTCCAAAGCTAAAATCTGTTCTTGAAATTTTGCTTCTAATTTTTCATGCTTATCTTGATAATATCTCAAAGCATTTACTCGTCGTTTAATATCTTCAGGTAACTTATCTGTGTTTATTAAAGGTTTCCCTATTAATTGGAGAGTTTTATCTTGAAATAAAGCTGTTGGAGCTGTCATTTTATATTATGATGATGAAAAATTTTTTTTTGGTAATCGTCGATTGAAAAAAGAAATTTTTTTATGTTACTGCGGATATTTATCGTTCCACAAAACGCATAAAATGCTTTTTTTTTTTTTTTTTTTTTTAATGTAATTGACAGTTAATATTAATTTTAATAAAATGGATTACAATATTTTGAAATCCATAGTTTTATTATTACTTGGTCTTTATATCTTCATTGTTAGACTAGAGTTTTCCGAGGCAGCAACTGGTTAGTAACTAATTAATAGTTGAACGATAGGACCAAGCTTTGATGTTTTCTAATATAAATATATTTGAATAGCTGCTGATTACTTTGTCAGATCTTTACCTGGTCTTTCTGACAACAGTAAGTTAAAATCACATGCGGGGTAAATATATGTATATATATATAAACAAATATAATGTTTTTAATTTTTTTTACTAAACATAAAATTGCAAAAAAAAATCAGCCACATTACAATTGATTCCTCCACAGATTCCAATTTGTTTTTTTGGTTGATGCACAATAAACATATTGCTGATAGACCCAAGTTAGTAAGTTGACATCAACAAAATAAAAAAAGATATTTATTATATATTATGATAATTGGATCTGTTGTATTATTTAGAGTTTTTAAATAATTTATGTTTTAATTCTCATTCATTTTCATTGTGATAGATTATATGGTTAAATGGAGGTTTGTAATTCATTGTTATATATAATGTTCTAATTTGGTGATTTGTTACTATTTACAATATAGTCTAATGAGTATATATTGGTTTAGGTCCTGGATGGTAAGTTTGATTTATCATTAGAAATATATCGCATATATATTATACATATTATACATATTCTAAATACCATTCATATAATTTGATAATCTCATTTAGTTCAAGGTAATGAAATAAAAATAAAGTATTTTCTTTTTTTATTCACTAGGATTTAATCTTATTAATTCTTATCGATTTTTATAGTATGGATGGTGTATTTCTTGAAAATGGACCTTGGAGAATCAATTCAGATCAAACATTAAGGTTAATCGATGGTTCATGGAATGAATATGCAAATGTTTTATATGGTATCTAATTGTTGTGATTATTATAATCATATTAATTGTGATTATTAATATCTACAAATGTAGTAACTTTCTTCACAATTATTATTATATCAAATAAAAAAGTCGATCAGCCTGTGGGCACAGGGTTTAGCTTTACTGATTCCGATGGTTATTTAAACAATTTAACACAAGTAATATATATATGAATTTTTTTGCCAAGATTAAAAAAACAAACCAATTAATTACAAAATATTCATTTAGGTCTCAAACGAATTTTTAACCTTTTTAGATCAGTTTTTTGGGATATTTCCGGAATTTTCCAATGATGATGTATATATCGTTATTGTTATGGTTATTGATTGTCATTATAATAATATAAAAAAATATTAAAATCATTTATATTCATTATTTTGAAGGTCTATTTAGCAGGTGAAAGTTTTGCAGGGACATATATACCTTATATAGCAAAAGCTATATTAGATCGGAATCATGCCAGGAAAACACCCGATTATCACAAGGTTAATATTAATATATTTTTTGTTCTGAAGGAAAAAGTATAACAAACTATTTATTTAATCTAAACTTTTACTTTTACTTTTCTTTAATATTAGTATAATTTAAAAGGAATAGCAATTGGTAATGGATGGTTTGATCCTATAAGTCAGGTAATTATTATATAACTATAACTTTTATATTTCTAATATTCTAATATTCTAATATTTCTAATATTTCTAATATTTCTTTATTGTTAATGTTATAATTATTACTTTCTATTAATACAATAGTACAATGCATATTACACATATGCAGTGGACCAGAATATTATGGATGAAAAAACCAAGGTAAAAAACAACGACAATAAACCAAAAAGAATTATATTATCAATTGTAACAATATTATTATTACCATTATCATTATTACTATAATAGGCTGCTGCATATGAGCAATTAGGAATCTGTATGAAAGATTTGCAGGAAAGTCTTGCCATTCATGTATATTCATGTGAAAAAGTTTTAGTCACAATCGTAAGTGGTTCTCGTAGACGGTAAATATTATATTATATTTATTAATTCATTTTATAAAAACTGTTTAATAAAAAAATTTTTTTTTGAGAGTAGAGAAGGAACCAGAGAAACATGTATAAATCAATATGATATTCGTGATCATAATGACAGTTATCCTTCTTGTGGAATGAATTGGCCTTACGAGCTTCCTACAATTTACAAATATTTAAGAGTAATATTAATTTTTTTTAAGAAAATAATAAAAACAAGTGATTTTAAATTAGATTCTAAAATATTTAATTAGAATCATTATTAATAGCGACCAGACGTTGTTGATGCCATACATGCTAATACAAATAAACTTAAATGGGCGGAATGTAATTCTAAAGTTGGCATTGGCTTTGATCAAGACATGTCGCCTCCCTCTGTTACAGTATGTGTTATCACACACATATATAAACTAAATATATCAATTATTATGTGTTAATACTAATTTATTATTATTCTAGTTAATGCCTGATCTTTTAAAACAAATCAATGTTTTATTATACAAGTTTGTATTAAATTTTTCACATAATTTTTATCATTATATTGTATTTATTGTGTTTATTTATCTACATGTATGTTTTAGTGGGGATAAAGATTTAATATGTAACATATATGGAACACAAGATATGGTAAAGAAGTTAGAATGGAACGGATATAAAGGTTTTAAGGTAAAATTAGAAAACTTTATTAACACTACCAACCACCACCACCACTATTATTATTTTATTCTCACTATCCAACGATTCATTCACTCATTTATTTATCTACCATATGCATGTAATTTTTAGGATGCAGTATCAAAACCTTGGTATATAAATGATAAAGTTGTTGGCGAAATGACTACTGAGAGAAATCTTACATACATTGTTGTTTACAATACAAGTCATATGGTGCCATATGATGCACCTGTTGAAACTATGGATATGATTTATAGATTTATTGGAATCCGTGATGATATAATAGCTAATTTTACTTCAAGTATTGGTATAAAGGTAATTAATTTATTAATATATTCATATACAATTATAAGGAACTTTTATTGTGGAAACAGTCAATATAAATTTTTTACAAAATTTGCTAATATAATTTTCCTTTTTTTAGGATCAAGGTGATTACGATAATGAAGAAGATAGTGATAATAAAAATAATGAACATAATCAAGATTCAGACGAACAGCGTCAATCGTAAGAATTTAATTTTTTGTGTAATAAATATACATATATTGTATATGTAAATATAATGATAGTAATTAAAACGAAAATGAAAGTAATCTATCTAATAAATAATAAATAATAAATAATATTTATTTATTTATTTATTTATTATCATTTTATATAGTCATGGAACAATCGTGCTTATTATTTTAATAGTTGGTATAATTTTGGTACTTATTTGGAATTACCGAGGGAAAATATTTAATCGTAGAAAAAGTTTGGCAAATCAAAAGATGGTGTTGGATCTTGAAAACAATGAGTTGTAAGTCAAGCAACTAACTATAATAATTTTTATTTTTTAAAATTTTAATTATTAAATAATTATATTTTTTGCAGGGATGATTTAGCTAAAGAAGCTACATTGTTCCAAACAGATGATATTGATCATTTTGGAGATAGTGAAAATGAAGAAGATGAAAATACCGCTATAATTGATAAAAAAGAAGAAGAAGAAGACGATGACGACGACGACAAGAATTCTAGTAAAAATAATTTGTTTGTTTAATTTATTTTGAGATGCAATAATAGATTTTGCATATTGTAAAATCTTTTCAGGAGCGAAATGAAAATTGTAGAAACTCAAAAAATATTTATTTTTTTTTTTGTAAAAAATTTTAGAATTAAAAGAATAATTGAATAAATTTAATAATAATATAATAATAATAATTAATAATAATAATAATAATAATAACAATAATAAAAATCCATCGAGCATCCAGCCATTCATTCAATTCAATTTGATTGATTTGTTTTTGTCATTTTTGTCTTATTTGAATGATTATCATTATTTTTTATTGAAAATTTTCCTGTTGTAAATTTTACATTCAAATCGATTGTAATTTCATTCTATTCTCCTAATACTAAGTTTAAGTTACTTGCTGACTTCATTACAAAGACTGTACTATCTCTAAATTTGGTTAATTTAGAAAATTTTGTAGTGCGGACCAAGGTTGGCAAATTTGACCAGTCCATTGCTATTAATAAATTACTAAATATGGCTAAAATGGTCACTAATGGATCCTATTTTTTATATTCATTGCATCCTCCACATTACGGTGCGGATCATCTATAATAATCAATTAATAACAAAATAAAAAAGTTAACTGACAAATTTTATTGTTAATTCAGATTGACTGAACCTTGGCATTTCGAAAATTCCCAAATTTTATTATAATAATATCTTTTTGATGAGAAAAAACCCCAATGTTTTTAAAAAGTTAAAATTAAAAAATCTACAATTAATATAATTAATAATTTTACCACGTTCGTTATTAAGAAGAATTAGTTGCTCTTCGTAATTATTATTAGTATTATTGGATACATCCATACCTTCAACGTGTTCCGCAAATCTTCTTTGCCTATGACGATCCATTAGTATTAGGTCAAGTTCACGAACACGCAATTTGACTTCTTCTGCTCTACGTTTATCTCTTTCAACTTTTAAAGTTAAAATTATTTTTAATGGATCAGGTTGTGTTTCAAATTGTGATAATATTTCTTGCAAATCGAAATTACTTGTCAAAATGTCTCAGTTAGGATTAATTAAAATTGCAGGAATATTTAGAGGAGTAGTAAAGAAGGGTGAAGCTATTGATGCAACATTATTTGTTCTGGTAGTGGTCGCGGTTGCATTTTGTGCACATTGCGTTGAGGTCAAAGGAGAGGATAGACTATCTAAAGACGAAGCCATTATCAAAGATTTGATGTGTATTGTCTGTTATTATGATCTAGAGTTTGTAGATTGATTGTTGTTGCGGTTGTGATTGTGATTTATAGCGTGGCAGGATTTGACGTTGAAGGAGCAATAGAGGAATTCTGTAAAGTTATGTAAATGAGTATTTTAAGATTAAATTTTCATGAGAAGAGGTCACAAACTGATAAGGATGGTGATTTTTGCATAAAAATATGGATCGAAAACATCACTATTAGTCATATCGTGAAGTCTATCTCAAAGTTTAAAAAATAGATTTTTTTGTTTTGCTTTTTAGATTGGCTATTTGTACTGAATTTTTCAAATTAACTATTAACAACTATCATACAACATACGGTAAAATAAAGGTTTTTTTTTTTTAAATAAACTTTTTAATTTTGGTAATGCAATTTCCCTGAATAAAATGCTATTGATCACATTATTTGCCCTAAGTTCAAAAGAAAAAATTTCTTTGACATTCATTTGTTAGTGATATATGTAAATGTGGTAAAAAAGAAGCAATTACGGTTGAAGTTTGCTCAATCAATGGAGAAATTTTCAAGTTTAGATATTAGAGATGATGAAGATTTAAATTCGAGCCTACAGGAAGTTGATTTATTGAACGATTTAGATAATAATCAACTACAAATTTAAAATTTTTATGACAATTGATATGCTTCACTATTAGTGTTGGTTTCCAGAACTAGAGAGTTTCGCAACTGTGCAAAATTCAAATGGTTTCGCTATAAGTCTTGACCTTTGACTTTTGATTTAGTTTTGACTTTCGTCTCTTCAAAATAATTTTGGCAACTAACACTATTCACTACACAACCAAAGAGCACCCAATTGGACTTATATTTTAAAAAACATCATTCATAGTAGATATTAAAAACGCTTCAGATGGATCAAATTTACAGAATACTCTTAATTAGTTATATTTAACAAATAATTCAGGTACATACAATCAACCAAAATCAAGACTGCAGATAAATTCTTTTATCAAAAATAATAATATTTATTGCTTTTAAAATTTTTTAATTTATTAATTAATCATGGAATTATTACAGATGACGGAATTCCATGTATTTCAAAAAAGAATTTAGTAAAATTCTTGGCTTTCACTTTTATATTAGTCAACCTATTACAAATATAAATACAATTAGTTATGTGTCTATTATTGTATTTTTGCAGTTAAGTGGTAATTTGCTTTCAGGACAGAATTCAGTTTGAACTTTATTAGTAATGAAATTTATGCAAATATATTAATTCATAGGTCTTTTCGATATGAAAACAAGACTATCTCACATGTAGCTTAGGGACTGTACCCACTTTACGAATTCAATTAATGCGACTTATTTTTTGATTGATTGGATGGTTGCATATTGATTAAATAGTCGTCGATGAGAGGATTTTTAACCAACAAAAATGTTGTACACGAGGAACTCAAAATTGCTTTTTTCACAGGATGATCCGTTTCTATTGAAAAGACCCATGTTAATAATAATACTAATACTACTTTTCCAATTCCGCTTGCAAAATATGGTCACACAAAGTTTCTTGTAGATCACATGATACTGTATATTTTTAAGTAGCCCATTTTTTATTGTTAAAAATAAGCATTACTAGTACCAAATTTTGTAGTGGAGGATAGGGCCGGAAATTTCTATTGTGTGTGACCGCAAACGCTATGATTCGAAAGTACATTAAAAAAAAGCGGGACCGCAATATTTCAGCTTTCGAGATTCATAATAGTCGGACGACATTTCACAATCGCAGATTTTGTGAATCTCAATTTAGCGGATAAGTTTGGCCCAAGAAATTTATCCGCTAAATCGAAATATCCGTAAAAACGAGAAATTTGGTTTTATAACAAAATCATGTGATATAAGTTATATCAAAATCGTAATTTAAAATATGTAAATAATAAAGTAATAATATTACTTTAGGTTGATTTAAATTTTCTTCTGATCGGGTTTGTGGGTACATATTTTCAACTTTATTATTAAAAGTATAGTTATTTTTTTAAAAAATTTTCTTTTTGATTATAAGCAAGCTAATGTCTAAATCGTAAATTTTATTTTCACGAATCATTTCACAAGCCATAAATTTATTTTACAGATTATTAGTTTTAAATAAGGTTCCGAACGAATCATCTAATTTTTGATTCGATTCATTGGCTATTTAGATTTAAAATGAATTGTACAGCTGTAGATTGTATTACTTTTTTTATTCGTCATTACGTAATAAACATCAATAATAGAATTTTCATATATGCGGATTTTTTTAAATGTTATTTTGAAAATTTTGTGACCAACCCCAATACGTTACTATTACGTTTTCGGATTTATATTTTAAATTTCAAAATAGTAATGATCATCATCTAACGGAATAAATTTGTTAAAAAAAAAAATTTTTTTTATCCGTTAAACTCTTAAATCCGCAGAAAAAGTCCGCGCTATCTTAATTATTATTAATTAGTGTTACATTATTATTTTATTTATTGTGCGAAAAAATTTTATCCAAAAAAAAAAAAAAAAAAATGTCGCCTGAATTTTTTGATTACCAATCTTTGAACGATTCAAGAACAAAAACCAACAACAACAATATTAACAATGATGATGAAATATTTCCGAATCCTGTTGTTTTCGTTGAGGGTTTCATGGGACCTGGTAAACCAGCTTATTGGGGTCCATTAGAATCATTGTTTTCCACAAATGATTCAAATCTAAAAAGTAACAGAAGTTGCATATTTGTTACTCCTGGTTGTGGAAGTTCTTTACATGACAGAGCTGTTGAAATTTTTTATCAAATTAAAGGTGGAAAAGGTAATTATAATTTTAATGCAGAGAGGTATTAACAGTGCCATTTTTGTTATGCAACGCTAGTAGTATTTACTTTAAAAAAATAAAATAGTTGATTATGGTGAAGAGCATTCTAAATTATTTGGTCATTCTCGATATGGACGTGAATATCCTGGTAAGTTTTGTTTATAATTTTTAATAGATATTGAAATAATAAAAATCTGACAAGCAATATTTAAAAAACATCTAGGATTATATTCAGAATGGAGTGTTTCTAAACCTCTTCATTTTCTTGGTCATTCACTAGTAAGTTTTAGATAAATAAGTTCATATTGCTTTTGTAATGAGGTTAATAAGTTTTGTGGTTTGTTTTAACATGTGTACAGGGTGGTACAACTATATGGAAGCTTCAACAATTGCTTGCAAGTGATATATTTCCATCATCTTATAATGCACATCCTGACATGATTAAATCTTTAACAGCTGTTTCTTCACCATTCAAAGGTTTGTTTTTTATAATTTTACATCTTATCATCATATTTTATATATTTATATGTATATTTAATAGGTACTCAAGGGGTGTATTTATTGGGAGCAACTACAAAAAGAAATGGTGAAATTCGCCCATTTTCATTTGGTTGTTGGTTGGGTAGATTTGTTCATTTATACGAGTATTTTGACATTAAATGGTTGAAAAAAGTTACTTATGATTTTAATGTTGATCATTGGAATTTTAATACAATAAAAAGTACTAAAATAAATCCATTCAGCACAATTTCTGAATATTTAATTAATATTTTTCAAAGTAAAAAAGTAAAGGATTCTAATTATCTTAAAGAAAGGGAAGGAGATGATGGTTTGGATCTTAAAATTCAAGATGATGATGATATCAACATTGATGAAGAAAGAAATGATGATGATTCAAATGAAGAAGTTGATGATGAAGAAAGTGAAGAAATGGTTGAAATTGATGAATCTTTAAACAAAAATTCAAATAATATTTGTGTTAGTAAACATGGATTATTAAAATGTTTATTTAAAAGTCCTTGGTTATATTTCAAAGATAATGCTCCTTATGATATGACAATACATGCAATGAATGATTTAAATTCAACAAGTAAAACTTTTAAAAATACCTATTACAGAACCTATGCTGCATCAATGGTAAATTAAATGCCAATGATTATTATTATCATTATCATTAATATTATAAATATAACTTATTTTTCTATGGGGATTAATAGACGCATGAAGATCCTATAACAAAATTTCATAAGCCAAGTTTTTCTTTTTCATTGCCATTAGCAATTTATTTTTTATCATATGGAATTGGTAGATTCCGATTTCAAGATAATACAATATCTTCAGAAGATCATGTTCCACCACCATTATCACAAGAAGAATTATACAAATGGTATGAGAATGATGGAGTATGTCCAAAAATTTCTCAAACACATCCTCATTACAAATGTGAAGATGGTTTATGTAAACATTTTAAAGGGCTACCATCAAAAGAAAATGAATGTGGTTATGAAAAGGAAAATTTTGAAGCTGGTAAGTGGTATGTTTGGGAAGTTGATAATACAACACACTTTAGTTTGATTCCTGTTTGGACTGGCAGTGAGCAACAGTCATTATTTTTCAATGGTTATAAAAATTATTTAGATATTATAGAAAGAATTAGCAAATGACTCATTTTTAACATTTCATTTACTAAACCATTTTTATTTTTATTTAATAAATTTTTTTTTGCATAACCATTAATTTTAGTAGCTAAAGAATTAAAATATGATAATGACCAATTGTATGCAATGATAATTCACGTTTTTCTAATAAATATGATAAAATGACAAAATAAAAATATGATTGCAGGATACAGTCTTGTAATAAAAATGTTGTTAATTAAGTTTTTCATCTCCCTCTTCTTCCTCCTCCATTTCTTCAACATCCTTATAATCATCACCAGTTATTTTCATTTGATCTGTTAGATATGTATTGATATCTTTTTGCATTGAAAGCAAAAGATTTGATAAGTCATGTAATTCTTTTTTTTCATTATTCTGGCCATAATTATTATTATCATCACCATTATCATTATCATTATCATTAAAAACTTTCTTCAGATTATATTCAAACTTTCTCAATACTAAGGGCTTAGAATTGTTTTCATCATCTTGTTTTTTTGAATAAGTTGCTTGGACTGTTGTTGTTGTTGTTATGGCAGACATTTTAGAGGTTTTTTTTAGAAAAAATATAGTTTCACAAATTAAAATTTATAGGAGGAGGAGGGACTCTGGAAACTTCTAATCGAGGTCTCTGAAACAACAGGCACGAATATCATTACCAAAAATATAAAATATTACTGACATCATAAAATGCGGAATTACGTATCTGTATCATAATATGGGACATGCTTGAAACAAAACCAGACAAAGTATTATTATCAAAAATTTCAGGGATCAAGAATGTTTAACACCACAATTGTATTACCAATTACAATATAATGTGATTATGATATTTGTCTGGACAAAAATAGTTAATATGAAACTCATTTATATCAGATCAGAAGAAGTATTTTGAAGAAAGTGTTCAAGTAACTTGACATCTGCCAATTTATGATTATGAAAATGTCACATATCGATTTGTTTCCCTTCTGCAACAGTTGTATTGCCTTGACATCTTTTGATTATTTAATATTAATATTAATATTAACATTAATTATGAGAAGCAAAACGATACCAATTATTTATTATTACTCTTGTAATAAATACAGAAATACCAGAGACACTACATGTTCTGACCCACAGTTTGATTCCAACAATATAAAATAATAAAAGACACATAAAGTGTGGACATTTGTTTTGTTTTCTTAAATCCCATATTTTAATCAAATTATCTACTGAACTTGTTGCCAAGTAATATACATTTTTTGAAAATGACAATGATTTGACTTTTCTTGTGTGTCCTTCGATTGTTGTAACATTTTGTTGTGCTTTTATATCCCAGATTCTAACAATTGAATCATTTGTACCTGTTCCTAATATATAAGACCATCAGGATGAAATTTCCACATGAATATTCCAATACATTTATTATAATATAAATACATGAGTAAATAGGTTATTTATATAATAAAAATCGAATAAATATAAATACAAACCACCTTTTACATCACTATTTTCTATTTAACCAGTGTTTGAGCAATAGCAATATCATGAAAACCCAGGTTAAATCTTCAGAAACTGACACAAAATAATCTTTGGTGGGGTTTAAAGCTATACCAGTAACTTCTGCATTGTTTATTGAAATGGTAATGGATGCTTTATATCCTGGTTTTATTAAGAAAAAAAAATTTTTTTTTTTGAGATTTTATATTTTCACTTGAAAATACATACCTTCTTTGGTATTATTCCAATTTCTAACACTTTTATCGGTGCTTGCTGTTAAATACAATATCTGATTCACCAGCTTTGGCTTTCTCTCTCCGCAAAACATTTGTATGGCTGTTCAATTGACTTACTACTTTACCTTCTTTACAATTATAAATCAATGCTTTTTTGTCAACGCCACCTGTTAAAACTAATTTTTCTGTTTGATCTACGTTCTTTTGTAAATCCATATATAATAATATTCCAGGCATTGAGGAATTGTGTAAAGCTGGAATTGTAGAAATTTGAGTAAATGTTTTGATTGTATCAGCAGGTGTAAGATTTGGTGGTGGCTTTCTTTTTTTACATCCCTTTGATAAACTAATTTAAAATTTTTTAATTGGGTAAACTTTAATTTTAGAATGTGAATATATTTCTTTTATAATTAAATGATAATTAGTTAATAGAAATTATATACACTATACTGGATTCTACTAATTTTTAAATGATTGAACTACCTATGCCTTTCTCCTCATCAACCTGCATCTCTTGTGTCTCAGACATAGACATATCTGCAGGTGGTTGAACTTTGATATTTACTAATGTAAACTATCCCATTCATTTTGAAAAGCTGTCAGCAATGATGGAATGGAAGAAAAGGTTTGTGGATGAGGTTTTACTATCTTTGTACCTGATTATTATTAAGAAAAAAAATTTTACAATTAAATGAATGATAAATAATATATATATAGATTCTATATTATATATATATATAAAATAACAAATTATAAAGTTCAGATAAATTCTAAATCATATAAAATTTGGTCAGAAACAGCTTCTAGTTGTTTATTTAATAATTGATATCATCATAACTACCATTCATTCAAACATGTTGTATAAATGTTTATTTATTCATCAAAATTTTTTCTTCCAAAAAAAATATTAAAAAGCTTACTTGTTTTTACTTCTAATAGATCTTCCTCAGATAAATCTTCATCAGTCACAGGTTTCTTTCCAGTTTCAACTATATATTTGATAATCAACTTTTTTTCATAAAATTGTTCTGACTTTTTGGAAACAACAGGTTCTTCAGGTACTCCTCCAGAAACTATTATTATTTTTATATTATTATATTAAATCAGCAAAATAAATAAATTTAAAGTTCCAATCTTTTTTTTTTATCTAAACAATGAAGCATCCAATTAAAAGTATTTACTTGTACAAAACATCGCCAACTATTATATTTTAGAAGAAAAAACATTGCATGAATGTATTAAATTAAAAAAATCTCAAGTTATCGATCACTGTATAGATTAATTATTATGTTTGCGTGAATTGCAATTCATCCACATGAAATTCAAATTAGCCACTCAGAATTTCATATACAATAATAAATATAATAGTGATTTCATAAATAATTAAATTGATGAATTAATTAATCCAGATGTTCTTCTAATATGGATTATATCTTTCAGGTATATTTTTGTTTTTTAATTATCCAACACCACGATTATCAATAACGCCCATTATTTTAATATTGATAGTTCGTGTAACAAAACCAATGGTAAAAATTTTTTTATTGTCGTTATATTTATAGATTGTGTTCAGACAACATGACAAAAATCACAGCAAATGATTTTCCTGAATTCGATAAGAAATTAAATGAACTACTTGAAAGAAAGCCACCTGGGACTAGTGCTTCAAAAATAAAAGATCTAACTAAAGTAGCTTTGAGTAGCCCAAAGGTATGGATATTATTTTTTTTTAGATTAAATTATTTTACCCAAGAAACCCGAATAATAGAAACTTTTGACATATCCCTTCATCAAAGTTAGATCTAGAGTTAGAATTAGAATCTTTATTTGTATTAAAAATGCTATTATTCATAATAAAAATTAATAATAGTAATAGATCATAATTATATAAAAAATTTTTTTTGGCTTCAATTAAGTTTTTTTTGTAACTCATATTATAATTTATAGCAATACAAAAATATAGTTTACAGTATACAAAAGTTTATTCAAAGATGCCCATCTGATTATAAATTGGGAGCATTATATGTGTTAGATTCAATATCACAAACTGCTCAAAAACAAAAAGGATCAGCAATGACAAAAAAAAATGAGTCATCATCAATTGCATCCAAAGCTTCATCATCTTCTTTGTGGACAGGAATAGAATATATCGATAGATTTGAGAAACTGTTAGAAGAAATATTTACACATATAATGCAATGTCCGGAGCATGATAAGGTACAATGTTTTTAATATGTTATATCTTTATCATTATTATTATTTTATATTATATATTATATTTGCTGGATTTGTTATTGTTGTTATCATTATGATTTAAAAAAAAATGAATGAATGAACAAGAAAGATTGACTTAGAGAATCAGGATAATGATGATAAATAATGATGATATAAGAGGAGGATTTTGGATAGGACTTTATAAAAGTTTTTTATATATTTAAATATTGAGTGAGAATAGAGAAAATCATCACTAATTATAATTAGCCAACATTGGAGAAATATAGACAATTTATTACTATAACCTTTAATTAATATGTAGAAGAAAAAACACCTAATTATATAGTAGATGTATATTCAGATATTAATTTTATAAAATATATTTCAGAACATTAAAGAAACCAAATTTACAATTTACATTCCAAATATGATATAATTGTGTTTGGATTATTACTATTAAATATATCACAGTATTAACAATATTAATAACAATAATAATAATGATGAATATGATAATTCTGAACAAAAGATCAATTAATGTGTGTTCTTTTCAAAGAGAAAAACAAAAAAAAATGAGATCTTTGTGATATGATAAATATTTATTAATAATCAAAACCTCGTACAATATAATAAAATAAAATATAATAATTTTTTACAGGATAAAGTGAAACGTGTTCTTGACCTTTGGTATGACAAAGAAACTTATAACAAGGAGATTATTCAAAGAATAAAAGACATCTATTTTAATCAAATCACTCCACTCACTCAATTGGTTAACAGTGTTAATGAGACAAAATCAGTAAATGTTTCTTCTTCTAATAATGGTCAGTTAAATAAGTAAAAATTTATACCTCTATTTATTATTTTATTTATTGTTTATATTTTGGGATGACTATGCACATTAATATTATTAAAAAAAGTTGTTTTTATGAGAATCTAGAGTTGAACTTATTTCTATGATCATAATTAGTAATTAATACCATATCATAATCATCATTGCCCCTATCATAGATTCTAATAACATGGATTCTTCAACATTATTGGCCACTTTGAATAATCTTACACAAGGAGCTTTAAACATCCCATCATTCCTATCATCTAATCCAATACCTAATGCAACAATTCCTTTCAACAATCTTCCTGTCAACTCTAACCAACCTCCTCATCCACATGCAATTCCACCTCATCAAACTCAACAACAACCACCACTCACTTCATATGTGACAAATTTTGCACCAAAATTGAATAACCCTTTAGATTTCGATTATGGTGATATGGATGAAAGTGATGGCACACCACCAAGATCATCAAATCAACAGCACAAAAAAGAACATACCATGAAACAATCTCCAACAGATCCTAGTCAATCAATAATAGTTCAACAACAACAGCAACAACAATCTGGAAAATCATTTCCTTTTAATTCATTACAACCTTGGATGTTACCTGATCAACAATTTCATACAATAGCCTGGAATAGTAATGGTACTCAACAAAATCTTACGCAACCTGTCCCATGGAATCCAAATACTCCATTGCCACCCCATCAATTTGCAGTGGCACAACAACCAAATGGTCCTTTTGTACCTGCTCCAACAACATCACCACAACCATTACCACTAGGTTATTCTGCTCCATCAACAATACCTGGTCATCCATTACCATCTTCAGCCACTCATCAATTGTTGCCTAAAGTATCAACATCATCATCCGCTGTTAATAATGTTGCTACTACCAATACTACTGGTGCTGGTGGCATTAATCTGTCTCAACAACAGCCTGGTCAAATATCTGCTCCGATTAATCCAGTTACAACAATTGCTCCAGTTACTCAACCAATAGCACATCAATCATCATCATCATCATTATCATCATCATCACCATCACAACAACAAACACAAATATTACAAGATATATGTCTTGTATATGAGGATCCAAGTGTTGGAATGGAATATATCAAAGGTAATGTGCCTATTAATATAAATTTTTATTTATTAAAAGAAAAATAAAATTTGTTAATTAATTTTGTTGTGTGTATGTAGTTTTAAGTCGAACACTTTATATTGGTAGTGTTTCAGAAGATATGCCTAAAAATGCTATGCAAGAAATGTTTACCAAATTTGGACCTGTCTCAGTTGTTACGGTATTATTAAATAAAACTTAGTTTTTTCTTAAAATAAATATAATTAATAAATAATAATCCAATAAATAAATAATAAATGATTGCTTGATAATAAATTAGATTAATTATGATAAAAATCATGCATTTATAAAAATGGATACACGTGCAGGAGCAGCTCGTGCACTTAGTAACATTAGAACAAAAATGAAGGTAAATAAGAAGTTAAAGATCATAAAATCCACTAAATAATTAAAACATATGTAATGATAGTATATATGTGTCTACTATATTTAACTAGATCCGTTGGGCATTAGGATTTGGCCCTAAAGATTGTTTTGATTATATGAATGGAGAATCCTTGATTCCGATTACCAAATTGACAGAAACTGACAAAAAATGGTTGGTTACTAGTAAACAAGGAGGCACGGGTGGAAGACCCGTTGTTGGTGGAGTAGTAGTAGAAGAGCCGGATATTGTTGTTGGCGAGGGACTATCATGTGGATCTATCAATAAAAAATAGAAAAACGTATGATAATTAAGATTTGTGCATATTTATTCAAAAAATAACTGTTTTCAACTTTGTTTTCTATTACTATATGCATAATAATAAAAATAAAAAGGAATTCCAACTTTCCCATATAGTAATAATAACAAAATTTACAAAATTAATTAATGAATTAAACACGAAAGAAATAAAAAAAAGAAACTTGATGCAACAAATAGTATATCTATCGTACAAGAATTAGAGGACCTGCATAATAAATATTTTAGTACTCATTTTTTCATTTTTCATCATTTTTTTAATTTTTTTTTTTTATTTAAAATAAAATATTCCTAAAATGGTAATTTTGACCAAAATTTTGTTATATATTATTAAGGCTAAAATCCAAATTTAGTAATGTTGATTTGACTTAGCATATTAATATAAGTTTTCACTTGAGTTATGTGGCCAGCTCTAATATTAAAAAGAAATATTTAATTTAATAATAAGAGTAGTGATTTTACATAAATGGGAATTGGACTAGGAAAATCAACCTCTCCTCTGATTTTTTATTTTAATCTATTATACAAGGGTTACAATTGGAAAGAGATAGGGCTTGGAATACTTTCTTTAAAAACATATGTATAACCAATTTTAAAAGGATTGTCTCTAAAAAAACTAAAAATAGATTTTTTGTTTTGGAGGGGTTGATTTTCCTAGTCCAATTCCCACAAAATGTCGCGACTTTTTACAACAAAATGTAGTACACTTTTGTCCAGCACGGCGTGCCATAGTTTACTTTTTTTTTTCTATGACACTTTTGAATAAACTTGGAGAGATATTTATCTTTGCTTGGAATCCCTCTCTTTCACTTGGAATTCATCTCCACCTTCACTGGAATCCATTTCCACCTCCAAGTGAAGACAAATCCACTTCCAAGCGAAGATAATTTTGCCTCCACTTCGATAATTAGAAAAATATCTACATTTATTATTTTTTTTTCTTCTGATCACACTAATAGAAATGGTGAATATTTCGAAAATTGGATGAATTCTTTCTTTCCCGATATTGAGTTTGTACATGTCAAAAATAGCAAAAAGGTGAAAAATATCAAATAGCTATTCATAATTAAATTATTTTTTCTGATCAAACTTAGTATTTTAGATTCGGTCATGTACATTATAAATATGCAAATCAAAATTTCCAAGGACCAGCCAGATAACAATATCATAACATTCACTGCGGCTACAACAAGGGCAACTGTCCCAGGGTTGGCAAATGTGCGGCCATCGATGGTTATTGGTGGTCCATTAGTGTAACAATTTAACCATATTTAGTATTTTATTAATGGCAATGGATCAGTCCAAAATCCATCTGTTCTCAATGGACCAGTCAATTTTCCAACCCTGCATTAATGCCACCAACAATACTAATGCAATTTCACCTACCAATAATCCCATTACAATTTCAAACACAATCAACACTACTAATGATAATCAAAGGTTTAGTAACAGTGACCAAGAAGTTTCTAGTGACAGCAATAACCAAGAACCATTTAAAATTATATTTAATGACAGGATGTATAGTTTGTTCGAAAATAGGTATATGATTCTTGTTATTAACATTTATAAGATAAAATTAAACTAATGTTGTTTGTTTTATTTCATTTTGGGACAGCAATGAGTACCTTATTGGGACTTATTGGAACCATCAACTTCGACAGCAATATCTAAACTGACATGTATCGTGGGGACACTTGCAATAATTATGTTATTTTTATTATAAGAACATACCAGACATTGGACATGCGACTCCAATTAAAAATCATTTCAAAAACGGAGCTTCATTTGAGTGTGAAATAAATTTAAATTCAAAGTAAGATTTTGAATTTTGAATATTGAATTCAGAATCCACATTATTATTAGATTAATAATAAAATTTATTTAATAGACCGTCATAAGAAAATCAAATTGATATGTCATATAATAATTAAAAAAAAAAGAAATAACACTAATGTTCACTTGTTGCAGCATGTCGCATTAATATGTAAACTTCGACAAGTCGGTCACATGACCCACCGACCTATCGTGATTATGACGTGATAAATTTTTGACCACTATTTTATGCGACGTGCCACATAAATTATATGCGTTTATCACATGTTGTATATTTCTTGATTTTTTGAATTGCAAATTCACATAAGATTACACATTCACAAATATAAATAATAATGACAAGTCCGGCTAGTAGAAAAGTAGCAGTTGCTTTAGATCCAGGTTCAGAAGAAACAGAGTACACAATAGATTGGATTATAGAAAATTTCTTAAAACCTGATAGAGATGACGTACACTTGGTTTCTGCTTTATACCTTAACTCAGATTTCGATGTAACAGAATTGGGTAAAAAAAAAACCATTATATATAGTTTATATAGTTATTTGATTATAATAATACATTTTTTTAATAATAATAATTGTAGGCATGAACATTAATTATGCTGCTGAATATGTTAAAAAATGGGAAAATGAAGTAAAAAAATTTTTCATATTTTTTATTTGGTCATAGTAGTAGTTATTATATAAAATTTTTAATTATTATTATAATTATTGGAGATTGAAGGAAAAACGCGAAAATCAATGGAACCATTTGTTGAAAAACTCAAAGCAGCTAATGTACATAATAAATATATAATAATCATATAGTAGCATCCAATTAATTGATATAAATACTTTACTTGATAGATAAATTGTAAAGTTGAAATAATAAAAACCCAATCAGATTCACGTAATCTTATAGTTGATTATACTGAAAATGAAAAAGTTGATGTACTTGTTATGGGAAGTAAAGATTTGACTTTGTGGAAAAGGTTGGTTAATGTTATTTTTTTAAAAAAAATTTTTATTATAGAAAAAGATTACTAAATTTATATATTTAAAAAGATTATTTTTAGGAAGTTTTTCGGAATATTGTCAACATAATGCACATTGTCCTGTTTTAATTGTTAAAAAACCTAGGAAATAAAGTTTCTATATTATATATATATATATATACACATATACATATATATATCTCTATAAAATCTGTTAAACTGTCATATTCTCTACTCCTAGTACATTTTTCTTGTAGTGTTCCCATTGAATCTTTATTTGCACTATATATACATATAAGTTTACTACATAGCTTTATCAATCAACTGGAATAAAAAACTTCTATTTTTAAAACTTTGAAAAAAAAAAAAAAAGAAATAGCGATGTTTATCACATGTTTGATGATTGCTCTTTGAAAAATTTTAGCAATGATAAAAAAATTGGGAGCAAATTTAAATTATGTGATTCCAAGCATTCTTAAAAGAACTAAAGGTTCTAATGTTTCAACGATTGCTTCACAACCAACTCAACAACCATATACAGAGTCCATAATTATAAGTAATTATAGTTTTTTATTTTCTGTTTTTTTATGATATTAATAATAACTTGTTTTTTTTTTTTATTTGGGGAAAATTTTTTATAAAGAACCTTTTGTTAACCTTCCAATTAACGATCCAATATATTCAAAACAATATCTTATTACAAAATCAAATCAATTATATAATTGGTTCGAAAACCGTAGAAAGTATACATATACATAAATATATACATACATTAATAACCAAAAAAAAAAAAACAAAATTAAAGATTTGATTTGCATTTATAAATTAGTTTAAAACTTTATCTTAATGGAAAAATTAATAAAAATATGCTTGCAAAAAAGTTCATTGATCTAAATAAATATTATGCAAGGTAAATACATAAAAATTTTTTTTGTTAAAGATTTTCTTTTTTTCATTACATTTAATTCTAAATTATTGTTTAATTTAGCGGTGAATTGGAAGCTATAGAGGAACTTGTTACCCCTGAATTTTATCGTGTATTTAATTAATGATTATTTTAAAGAATTTCCAAAATGTTATATATGTAGAATAATTAATCAAAAAACATAATTTTAGGTCATAAAAAGAAATTTATTAAATCGACATCTAGGAACATATTATTGGAATGTCTATGACCAAATAGAACCTAAAGTTGAATGCATTCGTGCTGCATCTATAGTACTGGATTCTAAAACATCCTTATATACTCAAGTAATATTAAGCATTGAAATTGATGAGGTAAAGTTTTATTATTACTATTATTATTAATTATTATTATTATATTCGTCGTTATTGTGTTATTATTAAAACCAATAAATCTATTTTTTAAAAATATACATATAAAGAATTTAGTAGTATTTGATATATTTGGAAATATACTTGCAGGAAATAAAAATTACAGTCAAAAGACTACAAGATATGTTGTGTATAATTATAATACAAGAGACAGACCAAATCAATGGATAATAGCAGGAACTTATGAGCCTAAAAAAATAACTAAAAGTTTTTTTAAAGAAACTGGTTTATGGATGTTAAGCTTAACAAGGGAAAGATTTAAAAATTATTTGAAAAATATGAAAAATAAATATTTGTAAGTCTTAAAATTTTTATCATCATTTTAAGAAAAACAAATCTTACATATATTTAAATTTTGATGCCTATTTTTTTTTTATTTAAAAATTCCTTATTTAATAAAACACCAACTTTCCTATCTACTTTGATATAAGCAGATAAATAGATCCATTAATCATTTAAGTGCTTGATTAATTGGTTTTAAAATATTCTTTTTTTTTAACCTTTTTTTTTCATAATTTTTTTCAAGTAATAAATCCTTAGAGATTTCTTCATTAATGTTATTCTTGCTATTCAATCCACCTAATAATACATCATCATCATCCTTTTTCATATTTGAAATTTCTTTTTGTTTTTTGTGGTTGTTTAATTTTTCTCTGTCAGAAATACCAAGAGCATCTATAATATATTGAGAAAGCCAACCTAATAAATAGGTAACAAAGATTGCGAATAGTGCTGCAAACACAAAAAAACTCGACAATAGATGAAAATTTGAAATTATCCATTTAATGAATATAGATGGCGTATAAAAAAATATGACATCTAACAACTTGATAATTATGTTCTTATGGGAAGTTTGATCACTAAAATCTCCTTTGGCAGTTGTTTTCAATTTTTTCGCATCAAGATTAGTGATTGAACAAGATGACGTTTTTAAACAGTTAAGAAGCAAGTACGATAAGTAACAAGTTGCTATTCCAAGAATGAAAATAAAATTATTTTTATTCAAATTATAATTGATCATTTTTTTACCAGGATTTGTGTGGCAAAGAAATTGTGCGGGTAATATCATCATCTTATTGATGACATCACAAAATGACGTTTCAGTGGAAAGAAACTTCAGGGTACATAATGGCAACCCTCAATAACATCAATATTGAACTTTCACTTTGTTCTTGACTTAATTGTTTGGATTTATTAAATTTGTTTTGCTGTTTCATTTCAGCCTGACCAGTATTTTGGCACCTTTCTTAATGTTGAATAATTTCTTTTTGCTTGGTTGTAATTCTTTAACTTTTATTCTGAAGTTCCTGAGTAACATTTTTACCTTCAGGGTTATTTTCCTTGTCTTCATTTAAATATCCTAATTGTTTTTCAATTCAGTAATATCATTCTTTAATTGTTGATTGTTTTCTTGCTTTGTCCTCTTTTATTCATTTTCACGGTCACCCTCTAAATCTTTTATTTTCTCTCCATCTCCTTATTTTGTTATTGCTTCTTCTGTATCTCATATTTTATTATTTATATCTAGTTGTAAATTATCAACTCTTTTTCTAGTTGATCAATAAGTTGATTTTGACTACTGACTAAATTCTTGATATTTTGGGTAAAGCCCCTCCTCACAAGCTGGATCACACGGAGCCTTAATTCAAAATGCAATAAAAATGGTCTTCACGTGATTTCGATGTAATTAAAATAGACTGATCAAAGAATGTGCGAAGCGTATAAATAGACCTATCATCCCCTCCCCACTTGGTGTCAAAAATATATTTTATGGAGATACCTGGATTTATATTATTAATTGCACGACATTTCCCAGTATATTTTAAAAAACTTGCTTTGGAAACTTCGAACATCTTGCCTTTAACACTTACTTCCATCAAACTCGCTTATATAACTGTCGAATAATTCATCAGTATATTTTACAAAACTTGCTTTGAAAGCTTCGTAGATCTTGTCTTTAACACTTACTTCAATCACACACCTATACAACTCTTGAATAATTGATAAACGTTCATCAGCCATTCATAACTAGGCCGTAATGTATTTTTAATTCACATACAAGCCTACTGCGAGATAGCTTTTTTGTCAATGTTGGTTATTTTACATTTATGGGTTACACTCGTTTTCAATGATTAATTTATTGCTCGTCAATTAATTTGTCTTACGATTTATCCTGATTCTGCCTCTTTCTTGTTCCTATAAAGTTTCGACGAATCTGTAAGCACACTTTATGGTACAATAAATAAAATGTGGCTCTATCATTGCTTTACTGAAGCTCCTTCTTTCTTTGACCAACTAAATTCAGCCGTACGTTTGCAACAATAACACAATACAACAAAGTGAAAATATGATAATGACTTTGGTTAATAAATGTAGCACTTTATATCTGACCGAACAATCTTAACACCTTACGTTTACACGAAAACATTTACAATATAACCCTTGTTTCAATGTACTTCGTTTCAACGGATCATAATTAAATTCGTGTTTCAACGGATTTTAAAATCTTTGTTACTATCAGTCAGACGACATTTTACGCGATCGACATGTCTACTGTAGTAGTAGGAATTTTTGTGCAACAAGTCAATTTTTACTATTAAAATCGAAGGAACTTTTTCATTTGTCACCTAGCACACCCACATGAAGTTTTAACCAGAAACGTGATATTTTGTACACGCATTCTTTGAGACTTTTTTTATTTCCTTGCAAAATTTTAGCTATGGTTTACTAAAAAAACGGAAAAGAATTACTCATTGAAAGTTACGCCTTCAATTCTTAATCATGTTACAACAAATTATTTTGAACTTGTAAATTTCAATAATGATTTATGGAATATATATTAATATATATATGGGGCATGCTGCAACAAAACCAGACAAAGTGAACATTGGTATTACCAAGATTTCAGGGATCAAAATTTTGTTATCAATAATCATAATAATAATACTATTGAATTTTCTTTAATATTAACGAATTTAATATCATTAATTAATTGATTTTTATACATCATTAAATTTACATATTAATATGTAATTCCTTAATCAACTCTCTTATTGATTCTTTAAAATACACATAAATAACTAATCGAATAAAAATAGCAATTTATTTAAAAGGAAAGAAAGATTTTTTTATTGGAAAATTATTGAGCTGTCTCTACCACCTATTACCCTCCTTGTGAAGAACTCTACTCGACACACATGCCTGCTTTCCTTGAAAAGCGATTCCACACTCCACTAATTTTGTAGATCTTGTGGGAATACCAGAATGGTATTTTTTCTCTAATATCTGTGCTAATCCCTCCTTAGAATTGGCCTGAAGTGATTCATAAACATTGCCTTTATTCTTTTTTTTTTCTTTTTTCTGCACTTTGAACTCCATAATTATTGATGTTTCAAACTCTACATTATTTCCCACTGGTTCGATTTTCAAGTCGAAACGTCCCAAACCTTCCTCTTTGTTTGACATTAACCTATAGCCATGAAATTGTACCTGAGAGAGCAAGCCGATCATGAAAAGGTGATATCCAAACTCTGCTTGATTGTCAGCAACATCAAAGCAGGAAAGAATCTCCATGACTATTTTTGGAAGATATACTTTGAAATTTTTAAGATCGCCTTGTAATAACATATCCAGCAGGGAGTTCACTGTGTACGGACACTTCACTTGCAGCCAGTCCTGCCATTCCATTTCTACCTCTTTATTTGGAATTTGCAATACCTTATTATGATCCATGGTGAGATAACTTGCATAATAACGCAAGGTCCAAAACGCCCAGTATGCAAATTGAGATGATAATAATGTTGTCCATGATATTCACCTTAATTGCACCCTTCAAAAGCAATTCTGCTACCTGGTCTTGAACTTTTTCAGATGAACGCCAAAGTAATTTTTTGATTATTACCATGCCACCTGTTATGTTTCAAAATCATGTTTTAACAGTATTATCAAATTATTATACAATCCAAACCATGCAAGCCTTACCTGTATTGATCCAGTACGGCTCAAAAACCTTTTTAATAACAAAAGAATTGATTGACCAGGGATTATAGATATGAATACAATTTCCTGCCTCATAGCCACCATACCATTGTTTGACTTCTTTCAGATGGGTTTCCAGGTTGTGATATTGAATAATAAGAGAATCCTCATCCTCTGTAAATCTGAATTTGTCTGCATACTTTTCTTCATGCATCGGAAACACCTTCACATTGTTAAGCCCTGACAAGAATCCCGATTTAGCAACACAAGATATGCCAGCAAGGAGGGCTTTCTCTAAATTTTCATTGTTATCCTGCGTTGAAAGTTAATACCAATGTGTTTGTTAGGATCATCACTTGCATCAATCTAACAAAGAAAACCTAAAAAAGTCTCACCTTGAGAAGCATTCCAAGTATAGTAGCAAAGAAGCTACAAGCTTCTTTATAATACCCATGGTGATGTGCAATATCAAGAGGATGATCATATTCATCAATCAAGACAATACATCTGCAATGGTGATAGTTATTCAGCCAGCGAGAAAGATTGTAAAGGGTATACTTTAAAAGATTTTTCATAGTGTGCTCATCCTTATTCATCAGGAAAATGGGTATATACAAATATTATGCATATATAATACGCAATTGCAGGGATTAAGCATATAATATATGTACAATTTGCATACATAAAAAAATATGCGATCTGTATGCATATTATATACGCATAATATTTGTACCCATTTTCCTGATGTTGATTACATCATTGAAATGTTTCCTATCATAATTTGTAAGATTATGATAAACATATCCATGTTCTTGGTAAAGTCTTATCAATTCTTCATATAGTCAGGCACACATCTTCTCCCAATTTTCACAATCACCATAGTTCTAGTAAGAACAAAAAGAAATAAGTCAGTAGTGCAGTCACAGATCGTTTATAAATACAGACAAAAAATCACCATACCTTGAAAGATATATATATGATTGGATACTTGCAAAAGTGTTCCCTGAACAAGTCCAACCTTTCTATTATTTTGGTGTTCTTGAACAATTCATGCCAGGGTTGGCAAATGTGTGGTCCATTGGTGGTCCATTGATGGTCTATTGGGTCCATTAGTGTAACATTTTAACTATATTTAGTATTTTATTAATGGCAATGGACCAGCTCAAAGTCCATCAGTTCTCAATGGACCAGTCAATTTGCCAACCCTGATTAAAACTGCTGATGCTGATAGGAATGCCTTTGCCTGCAAAAAGAGTAACAGTCCCACCTATAGCCATCAAAAAGAAGATTAGTCTCTGTTACAAAATTTTCTTGAAAAGGATTGGAAAAAAAGGAAGCAGTGTACATACTATTAATAATCTTTTGCTTCTTCGATACTAGAGGAAACAAACAAACTTAATTAGAAGGAGTTCTATGAAAATAGTAATATTAGGAAAATAAATACCTATTATTTTTCATCCCCTAGTCAATTCATTTGAAAGTGGAGGGATATTTTCTTTTTCATGCTAGTTATGTAATAGAAAATTAATGATGTTGCTTGCAAGTAGTCAAGAATGTGAGCTTCTTTATAACAAAGAAGGTGCATAATACATACACATAAGATTTCTGAATTAGATTCATCATTAATGTCCCTAGATTTAAATAAATGCAAATAAAAGTCAATACATATGTGTAAATGTTCAAATAATTATCACTAATTATTTAACAATGCAAATAGTGCATTGAAAAAATCAAAGTTAAACAACTGACTAGGCCAATCTTATATAGAAACTAGAGTGATGACGAGTGGCAGGTGATAACCACCACCACCATCCTTAAAACTCTTCGCCAAGTGCTGTTTTTTTGCTTCTTTTAAGTTTTTCCTTGGGCATTTTAATTAAAAAGTTAAAAAGAAGTTTGTGATGGCATAGATAAAAATCCTATCATTGGCTGTTATGGTATTACAAAATCAAGCGAGATTGACCAATGAAAATTGAAATTAAAAATCACATGTGCTTCCAAAAAAATTAATCATATCCACCGATTTCTGCAATGTTACACGATTTTAGGCTGGTTTTTGGGGCACATTTCGTTGTTTTTTTTTGTTTTAAGGTACATTTTTGACATGTTACACCATTCTTTATCTAAAAAAAGTAATTTTTATATACTTTTGTTATTATTATGTTTGTTGAGATTCGACAG